CCTGCCCTGAGTCCTCATTGCGCATGCCCTGGTCCCCCTCCCCCCCCCGTGCCAGCCCCTGGGCATTGGGCACAGAACCTACAAGCACCTGCCACTTAAGTATGGAGCAAGCCCCTGAATGGTTGTCACTTATTGTAGCTGATCCCAGGGCTTGAACTCAGGGCCCTAGGCGCTGTCTCTATGCTTTTTCTGTTGCTCAAGGCTAGTGCTCTACTACTTGTGCCATACCATCCACCTTCAGCGTTTTTTTTTCCTTTTTCTTTTTCTTTTTTGTTGGTTGTGGGGCTTGAACTCTGGGCCTGGGCGCTGTCCCTCAGCTCTTCAGCTCAAGGTGAGCACTCTACCACTTGAGCCACAGCGCCACTTCCAGCTTTTTTTTTTTTGCTTATGTGGTGCTGAGGAATCGAACCCAGAGCCTCATGCATGCAAGGCAAGCGCTCTACCACTGAGCCACCTTCCCAGCCTGCCCTTGACCTTCTTATACGCGGTCACTATCGTTTAGGGACAAAGCAGTCTTTAGATGTCTGTTGGTGGTTCCATTGTGCGTCTTTGGGGATCCCCCCTGCCCCCAGGACTCAGACCCAGAGCTGGGCAGGGAGCCTCCAAGGGGCTCCCGAAAGAATGCCGCAGCGGCTGTTTGGTCTCCCAATTCTTGTTTGGCTTCTTGAGGCCGCGGCAGCTTAACTCTTCTGCCAGCCCCGAGCGCTAGGGAGTGCTGACTTAATCCCTTGAACCATCTTGAACTTGGCTTTGCTTTTTGGGTAGCAGGGCGGTGGAATCCGTGCCCTGAGTTGTGTCCGCTGCGGTTTGGTGGTTGATGTCCGCAGTGAGCCCTGGCAGGCAGGGATGTGCAGGAAGGGGTGGATTTAGAGAAGATGGCTAGCAGAGATAAAGAAGCCTCATCCGGTGCTGGGGGCCCATGCCTGTCATCCCAGCTACTCAGGAGGCTGAGATCTGAGGATCAAGTTTCAAGGCCAGCTTGGGCTGAAAACTCTGAGAGAGTCCATCTCCAAATAATGAACAAAAAGCTATCCTGGAGGCACGGCTCAGGTGGTAGAATGCCAGCTGTGAGCAAGAAAGCTAGGTGAGAACACAGAGCCCTGAATTCAAGTCCCAGACCTTGTGCATGCGGGCATGCGCAAACTTAGAAGCCTCCATCTTACATCCACAGGCCTCCTCTTACCCTGAGCTGCTCTCCATCGACTGATGCCCGGCTCAACCCAGGTGAGTCATGAACAGACCACTAGGGGGCAGTGTCGTCCTGCCTGAAACTTCCCTGACCCAAACGCAGGCCTCCAGATCCTTCCCCCAGCCCTGTCCCCTTCCCGGCCCTGGGGTTGCTGGACATGGGGACCCTGCCCCTCGAATAACGCCTATTTGGGGGATGCTTCATTTAATAGTCTGGTTTGTTTTTATGTTAAGTGCTGGAGCTTGAACTCAGGACTTTGGGCTCACTAGGCAAGAGCTTTACTTTTCCCTGTCAGCCAGGCCCCCGTCCTTGTTAATTTTTTGTGTGCCAGCACTGAGGCTTGAACTTAGGGCCTCAGGTTTTTGCCTGTTTTTGTTGGTTGTGAGACCTGAACTGAGGGCCTGAGCGCTCAGCTCCTCACAAGGCGAGCGCTCTACCACCTGAGCCACAGCACCACTTCCGGTTTTCTGGTAGGTTCATTGGAAATAAGAGTCTCATGGACTTTCTTGCTTACGCTGGCTTTGAACAGCAGTCCTCAGATCCTAGCCTCCTGAGTAGCTGGGATGACAGGCCTTCTGAGCCACCAGCACCTGTCTTTTTTTTTTTTGGGGGGGGGGGTCCGGTCGTGAGGCCTGAACTCTGGGCCTGGGCGCTGTCCCTCAGCTCTTCCGCTCAAGGCGAGCGCTCTACCACTTGAGCCACAGCGCCACCTCCGGTTTTTTGGTTTTTTTTTGCCAGTCCTCAGGCTTGAACTCAGGGCCTGGGCACTGTCCCTGAGCTGCTTTTTGCTCAAGGCTAGCGCTCTACCACTTGAGCCACAGTGCCAGTTCTGGTTTTTCTGTGTATGTGCTACTGAGGAATTGAACCCAGGGCCTCATGCATGCTAGGCAAGCGCTCTACCACTGAGCCACCTTCCCAGCCCCTAAATTCATTTTTACTTGTAGTTTTACAACACCAGGGTGATCATGCAACTTTCTCTCTCTTTTAGGAGCATGTGTCCAAACACCCTGAACATTTTCCTGCAGCCAGGAACTGGTGGCTCACGCCTGTCATCCTAGCTACTCAGGAGGCTGAGATCTGAGGCTCATGGTTTGAAGCCAACTTGGGCAGGAAAATCTATAAGCCTCAACTCCAATGAACCACTGAAAAGCCAAAAGCTGTGGCTGTAGTGGTAGAGCGCCAACCTTCAGCAACCAAATGTTTGAAAGCATCCAAACCCCAAGTTCAAGCCCTAGGACCAACACACACACAAAACAACTCCTCTCCCCGCTCCAAGCCAGGACTTGGAAAATCCCAGTGCTCAGGAGGCTGAGGCATGAAGCAGACCTTGCATTCAAGGCTACCCTGGGTGAGAAGATCCCATCTTTAAACCAAGCCAAGTGCCAAGAGTTCACGCCTGCCATCCTAACTACTTAGGAGGACTGAGATTTGAGGATCAAGGTTCAAAGCCATTTCAGGTAGAGAAATCTGTAAGGCTCCATTTCCAATTAACCAGCAAAATGCTGGACTGGGATGTGGTTCAAGTGGTAGAGTGCTATCTGTGAGCAAGAAAGAACCAGTGAGCGCTAGCTTGTGTGTAATCTGCAGAGCATTTCCTCTGAGTCCAGGGTCCTGGGGGCCTGAGGATCGCAGCTGGCCAGGATCCATGCTGAAGGGGGGCGGGCAGGGCGGGGTGGGGCTGGGAGGTGCCCTGGAGCCGGGGGAAGCTCCCCAGAGTGATGGGCAGACGGAAGCGAGGCCGGGATACAGGGCTGAGCAGGAGCAGGTGGCAGGGACAGAAGGACGGATGGAACGTGGGCGACAGTGTAGCAGATGGCTCTGTCAGAGCAGATTTGGGGTGGGGTGTGGGCGGCTGACAGCGATTTCTGGGGCTGCCCCTCGGAAGCCGCTCGGCGGGGACAGGAGCTCTTGTCAGCCCGTTCCAGCACCTGGCTTCCAGCAGGTGCTGGGCTGAGTTGTCTCTCTGTATGTGAGCGGCAAACTCGGCGTGAAGCTGGGCTTCCCAGGGAAACCCACCCCGGGAAAGGCAGAGGCCACGGTCACTTCTGTGGGTGAAGGTGAGCATCGCCCGACACTCACGCATGACGTCTCAGCTCCTCAACCAATCTGGGCACCTGTATTACAGGAGTGCGTGACCAGCCTCTACCCGAACTGAAATGCTCATGCCCAGAGGCTGCAAACCCCAAAGTGAAGGTGTCGGGAGCTCTTTGTTGTTGCTGTCAGTCCTGTGGCTTGAACTCAGGGCCTGGGCCCTGTCCCGGAGCTTTTTCACTCAAGGCTTGTGCTCTACCACTTTGAGCCACAGCTCCACTTCTGGTTTTCCGGAGATGAGTCTCATGGATTTTTCTGCCAGAGCTGGCTTTGAACCATGACCCTCAGATCTCAGCCTCCTGAGCAGCTGCAATGACAGGGGTGAGCCCCCAGAATTCTTTAATTCTCACCTTGGAGGCAGCTGCAAGCCCAGGATACTGCATTCCTAGGAGTGCCAGCAGAGGGCACCCAAGCCTTGGTTTTGGATTTGGGGCCCCTAGGATGATATTTATTTTTTTAAGTGTTTATTTATTTCGCTGGTCCCGGGCTTGAACTCAGGGCCTCGTTGCTGCCTCTGAACTTTCTTTCACTCACAACTGGCACTCTACCACTAGAGCCATAGCTCCACTTCCAGCTTTTTGCTGGTTAACTGGAAATTAAGAGTCTCCTGGACTTTCCTGCCTGGGCTGGCTTCAGACCGAGTTCCTTAGATCTCAGCCGCCTGGGATTACAGGTGTTGAGCCTCCAGCCTTCAGTGACCGTAGGAATTTCTCTTACTCGACATAGAAATTCCAACAGAGCCAGCAGTGATTTAGGGTAATAACCCTTAGTTTCACCAGACTCATCCCTCACTGGCTAGAGGTTGGACCCACGGCCTCTACTGGGGGAGGGGGAAGAGCTGGTACCCCCCAGTCCCCATTTTAATCTCTTCTAAAACTAAGCAAAGCGCCCTCTCCCCCCTCCCCTTCTCCCTGACCCTCTTCAGACGTTGACCAAGTCACAAAGGCGTTCCAAAAGTTGGATTCAACTTTTTTTTTTTATTTTTTTTGTTCTTTTTTAATGTCATGCAATAATTCACAGTCCCAAGCCCACAGTTTTCAAACGAGATAGGAAAAAAAGAAAAGAAAAGGAAAACAAAGTAGAAAAACCGAAAGTCAAAAGAAAAAGAAAGTAAATGAAGCCGGGAGCGAGTGAGTTGGTGGAGGTGATTTTTCCTTTTCTTTTTTTCCTCTTCTTTTGTTGTTTCGAGCAGAACCAAGTGACAGAAAAAATGCTGAGTTTCGTTTTCCTCGATCATTATTTTGTGTGTCCTTTTTGAAGTCGTTGGTTATGATGACGTTTCCTCTTAGGTTGGCGGGTGCAGGCAGTAGTGGGGGTCGGTGGGGTCACCCCGCAAGCTCTCTGGGTGCGTGCCGGCCCCCTCCTTCCCGCCGGCCCCGCGCAGTGTCCGGGAAAGGAAGGATCCAGTCAGGCAGATGATAAAACTCATCAATACAAGCTACTTCTCCCCCCGTTTTCTTTTTAAAAAGGTTATTTTTTGTGTATTTTTTTTTTTTTGTCGTGTTCCCCGAAGTTCTCCGGAGAGGGGCTGCGTAGGTTCGAATCCCAGGCCGGCGGGGCGGGTCTGCCCGTGGCCCCGCCCCGTGCGGGGCGGGGCCTGTCCTGGGGGCGGGGCCTCGGGCGGCGCCTGCGCGTCGGGGCTCGCGGGCGCGCGCGGGGCGGGCGCGGCCGCGCGGGCCGCGTTGTGCGGGGTGCGTGGGGCGCGGCCCCGCGCCGGGACTTAGCACCAGTCGTCCTCGCTCTCGCTGTAGGGGTCCTGCGGGCCGCGGCGGGCGCCGGGGCCGCGGGGCCGGGGCGGCCCGGGGACCGGGTAGTAGCCGTTGGGGAGCCTCCGGCCGTGCCGGGCGGGCGCGGGGCCGGCGGGGCCCGCGGCCCGGGGAGTCCTGGGCGAGCGGCCGGCGGGCGGCCCGTGGCGCGCGGGCGGCTGCGGCTCGGCGCCGGGCGCCTCGGCGTCGTCGTAGTCGGAGCCGCGGAAGTAGCCGCGGTGCCGGGCGCCGGGCGGCCCGTCGGGCGCGTGCGAGGCGGGCGCGCGCACGCGGCAGGCCCGCGGGGAGTCGGCGCGCGCGCCCGGCGGCGGCGGCGGCGGCGGCGCCCCGGGCTCGGCGAACCTCCGCGGGCCGCCCGGGGCCGCGCGGCCCGGCCTGGGCCCCGCGCCCGGCCCCGGCCCCGCGCCCGGCGGCGGCGGCGGCTGCGCGGCGCCCGCCTTACGGACCACGGGGGAGTAGGACACGTGGGGCCGCGGGGTGCAGGGGGTCTGGGGGAGCTGGCGGCGGCCGCGCCGCGGCGTGCTGGTGCCGGACGTTGAGGGGGCGGGGCTTCCACTGACTGAACTACTGCCCTACACGAAAATTGAAACAAAGGAATCAAAACAAAAGACGCCGGGCCGGGGCACGGGGCGGGGCCACAGCACGACCGACGGGGGGGGGGGGGGGGGGGGGGAAGCGACAGCCACGGGGGAGGGAGGGAGGGGGGCGGGAGTCAAAGGCAGGAAGGGGGGCAGAGATGGGGGAGCGGAGGGGAAGGGGCGACGGGGAAGGGGGGCCGAGAAAAGAGAGGGTGTGGGGAGGGGGGAGACCAGGAGGGAGGGAGGGCGGGAGTTAAAAACCAACACAAGAAAGTGAAAAAAGAGAAATGAGAAATGGAGTTTTGTAAGTCTCAGGGTTGAAACAGCAGAAGTTCCAAAAACTACTCACAGGCGTCCAGAGGACGGGACCGAACAGAAAGGAAAGCCGGGTTAGAGGAAGCGCGAGGCGGCGGGCGCGGCCCGGGCCGAGCAGCGGGGAGGGGGCGGGGCGCGGGGCGGGGCCGGGGCGGCGCGGCGGGTCCCCGCGCGGGCGAGGGGCCGGGCCGGGGCGTGGTCGGGTCTCTCCCCGCCCCCCCCCGGGCCCGCCGCGTCCCCGCGGGCCGCACCCACCTGCCGGTGCGTCACGTGCTCGCGGCCCTCGCTCGGGGAGCGGGACCAGCGCTGGTCGCGGGCCCGGGCCCGGTGCTCCGGCCGCTCCGGGGCGTAGCGCTCCTTGTCGGGGGCCGGCGGGTGGTGGTGGTGGTGGTGGTGGTGGTGCTGCCGGTGCTTGCGGTCCTTGGGCCGGCCCCGCTCCTGGTCCCGCTCCTTGGGCGGCAGGTCCCCGGACTGCGTGGTCATGCTCAGGTCCGTCCCCAAGCCTGCGCCCGAGACAGGCGGGGGCCTTGGAGGAGGGGAGGGGGCGGCGCGCCCCCAGCCCGGGTCCCCGCGGCCCGGCCCCGCCCCCCGGCGCGCCCGGCCCCGCCCCCGACGACCAGGTCCCGCCCCGCGGTGCGCCCGGCCCCGCCCCCGACGGCCAGGCCCCGCCCCGCGGCGCGCCCGGCCCCGCCCCCGACGGCCAGGCCCCGCCCCTCGACGCCCCGGCCCCGCCCCCGGCCCACCTGTGTCCACGTCGGTGTAGCGGCCGAGGGAGCGCTCGGACGCGCGGTGGCCGCGCTCGCGGCGCCGCTGGTGGAAGCGCGGGGCGTCCTCGGGCGGCACCCGCTCCAGCGAGTAGTCGTCCAGCCGCCGCGCCTTGGGGCCCAGCACGGAGGCCGAGCGCTTCATGGGGCTGGTGTCCGAGATGGTCTGGAGGGGACAGGCCCGGGCCCCGTCAGCGGGGGCCCCGCGCGTCCGCCCCTTCCTGCCCACACCGCCGGCAGGGGCTGGGCCCGGCTTCCCGGCGTGGAGCCGGGGTCCCCTGTGTCCCCCGCTCCAGGGCTGCTCTTAGGGTCTGTTCTGGGGTCTCCCGGGCCCGTCCTGACATCCCTGGTGCCGGAGGACCCCAAGCCCGGGACCCTGGCGGGCCAGGACGGACCGGCCCTGAGCTTTCCACGGCTCTGACCCCGGCCGCCTGCCCTAGCCTCGGGGACCCTGGGGGCGGCCAGCCGTAGTCCCCCACTTCCTACCCCCATCCGCTCTTCCATCCGTGAACAAGACGGGGACCCCCCCCCCCCACTTTTCACCAAGGCTCAGCCAGGACAGGCTCTCCAGGGTCGGTGGCAGGTTTGAAACAGGAGCTTGGGGAACCAGGCCATCTCTTGGGGGGCAAGGAGCCCCCTAGATTGGGGGCTCAGAGGAGGGAGTGGGGTGAGGGGTGACCCCCTGCCACACACACAACGTATGAGGAAGAGGAGGCTCCGTGGGGGGAAGGGTGTGGTCTACAAAGAAAAGCTGGGGTGGGGGACAGTGAGGTGATGGGGGGCTGCCCAGGGGGTGGGGAGGAAGAGGGGCCGGGCTCGGCGCAGGCGCAGTACATACGCTGAGGTTATTCCCACGTGGCCGGCCCCTTCTCCTCTGTCCCAGCCCCAGATGGTGCACACAGAAAAACAGAAAGAAGGAAATAAATATAAAAGGAGGGAGCGGGAGGGAGGCGCATGGAAGAGGGGAAGAGAGAGAAGTTAAGAGTCGGAGGGTGGTGGGTGATGGCACCCTGGGACCTGCTGGCTGTCGCCCCCCCCCAGGGGGGGGAAAAACAACAGAGGAGACAGACAGGAGACACACGGACAGATGGCGGAGGCAGGAGACAGACAGATGGTACAGCAAGGCCCCTGGCTCCAGCCTCAAGCGATGCACCCCGTCCTGGCTCCAGCTGAGGCTCAAAGCCTTTTATTCTAATTTTTTCCTGGTCCTGGGGTTTGAACTCAGGGCCTGAGCGCTGGCCCTGAGCATTTTTGTCCCAGGCTGGCGTTCTACCCCTGGAGCCGCAGCTCCACGTGGTGTTTTGGGGGGTGGTTCATTGGAGAGGAGTCTCAGCTGCCGCAGCTGGCTTTGAACCTCATTCCTCAGATCTCAGCTTCCTGCGTGGCTAGGGTTACAGGCTCCTCCCCTCGCCCCAGGGGGCGGCCTTGGGCTGACACAGCGGGTCCCAGCCCAGTCCTGAGACCAGCAGCTCAGACAGCCACATGCACCGGCGCCCGCAGGCGCCCTTGCTCCAGCCAGGCACAGCACAGCCTCCACTTCGTGCAGACACCGCCAGGGCCACGCGCCAAGCGCTCACAGCCAGACATGCCACCCCTGCACCCCCTGCGTGGCCTTCAGCCTTCGCTCTTTGGGGTGACGGTGCAGGAGGGATCATTTGCCCCGCAGCTGGGTTAAAGCAGACACACACACACAATCACACACATACACAAATCTGCACACACACACACCACCCTCTAGAGAGGAAATGCAAGGCCCAAACCCAGCCTGGACTCTTTCTGCAGTGTGGACCCACGTACACGTGCAAGCCTGCACAGGGCACCTGTGTCTACAAATCACGCATGCACACACCCGCTGCATGTCATGTGCAGCACGTGCACACGTCCATGTGTGTACATAAGCGTGCGTGTTACATGCCTCTGTGATGGGGATAAAAACCAGGGCCTTGCACATGCTAAGCACACGCTTTACCTCTGAGCTACACCTCTAACCCTGTAGTGGTGTTTTTTGTTTTGTTTTACATTTCCTTTCCCGGGACTTGAACTCAGGGCCTGAGCACTGTCCTTGAGCTTCTTTTGCTCAAGGCTAGGCCTCTACCACTTGAGCCACAGCAGTACTTCCAGCTTTTTCTGAGTAGTCTTCCCTGCCTGGGCTGGCTTTGAACTGTGGTCTTCCAATCTCAGCCTCCTGAGTAGCTAGGATTACAGGTGTGAGCCACAGCACCTGTAATCCTAGTTCAGGTTCTATGGTTTTCTCTTTTTTTGAGGGGGGCGGCAGTCTTGGGCACTGAATTCAGTGCCTAGGTGCTGTCCCTGAGCTTTTTTGTTGTTGTTGTTGGTCGTGGGGGCTTAAACTCTGGGCCTGGGCGCTGTCCCTCAGCTCTTCAGCTCAAGGCAAGCGCTCTACCACTTGGGCTACAGTGCCACTTCCGGTTTTCTGGTGGTTTATTGGAGATAAGAGTTTTGTTTTGTTTTGTCTTGGCTAGTCATGGGGCCTGAACTCTGGTATCCCACCTCTTCAGCTCAAGGCTAGTGCTCTACCACTCGAGCCATAGCGCCACTTCTGGCTTTTTCTACTTATAGCGCCACTTCTGGCTTTTTCTGCTTATGTGGTGCTGAAGAATCGAACCCAGGCCTCATGCATGCAAGGCAAGCACTCTACCACTGAGCCACCTTCCCAGCCCTGGAGATAAGAATTTTAAGGACTTTCCTGCGTGGGCTGGCTTTGAACCGCGATCCTCAGATCTCAGCCTCCTGAGTAGCTAGGATTACAGGTGTGAGGCACCGGTGCCCAGCTTGAGCTTTTGTTTTGGTAGGTTATGGGGCTTGAACTCTGGGCCTGCGTGCTGTCCCTCAGCTCAAAGATGAGCACTCTACCACTTTGAGCCACAGCACCACTTCCAGTTTTCTGGTTGTTCATTGGAGATAAGAGTCTCACAAACCTTGCTTGGGCTGGCTTTGAACTGTGATCCTCAGATCTTAGCCTCCTGAGTAGCTAGGATTATACATATGAGCCACCAGCACAGGCCTGAGTTTTTTTTGCTCTCGGATAGCAGGCTTTTTGGTGGTTAATCAGAGTTGAGTCTCCTGGGCTTTCCTGACTGGGTTGGATTAGAAAGTAATCCTCAGATCTCAGCCTCTTTTCTTCTTCTTCTTTCTTTTTTTTTGGGTCCAGTCATGGGGCCTGAACTCTGGGACTGGGCACTATCCCTCAGCTCTTCAGCTCAAGGCCAGTGCTCTACCACTTGAGCCACAGCGCCACTTCCGGCTTTTTTCTTTTTGCTTATGTGGTGCTGAGGAATCGAACCCAGGGCCTCAGGCATGCAAGGCAAGCACTGTACCACTGAGCCACCTTCCCAGCCCCTCTTTTCTTCTCCCTCCTTCCTTCCTTTTTTTTTTTTTGGCAGATCCTGGGGCTTGAACTCTGGGCCTGGGTGCTGTCCCTGAGCTCAAGGCTAGCGCTCTAGTAGGTGACAGGCATGAGCTATGGGTACCTGGCTTGTATGTGTGCACGCCTGTGCGTGTGTATGCCAGTAGTGGGACTTGAACAAGGCCTTTTCTGCTCATTGGTGCCCTACCACTCAAGCCATGTCTTCAGTTCTAGGTTTTTGTTGGTTAATTGGAAATAAGAGTCTAGCATATTTTTCTGTCTGGATAGTTTCAAACCTCAAATATTTGATTCCAGCCCCCTGAGTAGCTAGGATTATAGGCATGAGCAACTGGTGCGTAGACTTTCTGTGGTGGCACTGTAGATTTAGGGCCCTTTATAGGCAGGTATTGTACCGCTTGAGCCATATCTCCAGCCCTTTCTCTTTTCAGGTCTTGGGAGCTGTCTTAGATTTAAAAAAAAACCTCAATTCTAGAACTCTACCACTTGGTGAGCTGGGAAGGTGGCTTAGTGGTAGAATGCTTGCTTAGCATGCATGAAGCCCAAGGTTCGATTCCTCAGTACCACATACACAGAAAAAGTGGCACTGTGGCTCAAGTGGTAGAGCACTAGCCTTGAGCAAAAGAAGCCCAGGGACAGCGCCCAGGCCCTGAGTTCAAGCCCCAGGACTGGCAAAAACCAAAAACTAAAAAAAAAAATCTCTACTACTTGAGCCGCAGCTCCAGTCTGGTTTTTCGTTGGCTAATCAGAGATAAGATTTTTGTTGGTTAATTAGAGATAAGACTTTCCTGCCCTGGCTGGTTTCAAAATGTGATCCTGCTAGGAGAGTGGCTTGGATTACAGTGTGCCTCAGTGTTGCCCAGCAGTTGTCATACATGTTCTTAGTAGCAATTCTCACCCGTCTGATAGACTGCCCCCAGTGGCTTCTCACTGCCCCCCTTCCCCCACAGCGAGTCAAGGGAAGCCACCAAGTTCTGCCCACCAGGGACACCCCTTCGCCTCTCTGGCTTTACTTGGGGAGGTCTAGGCCGCTGGGAGTGGGTGGTGGGTGTGGCCTGGAGTGGGTGTGGCCTGTGTACAGCCAGCCCTGAGTGCCCAAAGGAGAGATGCCTGGAGTGTGTGGGGGAGGGGAGGCCAGCGCCCCGCCCACTCCGGAGGTCCTGCCCCGCCCCAGAGTGGGCGTGGTGAGGAAAAGGGGAGGCAGGAGCCCCGCCCCTCCCGGATGGGCGTGGCTGGCGCGGGCGGGGCGGCGAAAGCCCTCACCTGGTTCTCGGCGGGGAGGCGGGGCATGGAGGCGGCGCGGGCCTGGCCCTCCATGGGGAGGTAGTGCTCGCCGTCCGAGTAGCCTTCCGTGCACATTTCACGCATCTCCACCGACTGCGGGCCAAGAGGGTGGCACGCGTGAGCCCCGGGGGCCGCGGCCCAGGCCGCGGGGGGGCGGGCGCGTGGCGGGAGGGGGCTGCGCGGGGGGCCGCCGCACCTGCGAGTTGGGCTGGGCGCTGGGCCCGTCGGCGGGGGGCCCTCGCTCCGGGCTCCACGTGCCCGTCTTCTGGAACATCTCCTGGGCCCGCTGCGTCACCCACGACGGGCTCTCCTTCATGCCGCCTTCGTGAGCCATCCTGCGTGGGGGACGGAGGCCGGCATGGCGAGGGGCGCGGGGGGCACCCACACCCACACCCCTTCTCCTGGCCCAGGGACACTCACAAGCCTCCGCCCGGGTCCAGCTGGGTCGCGGGGAGGGCGTTCTGGCCGGGCCCCCCCTCCTGCGTGGGGGACGGGGGCTCCATGCGCTGGAACATGAGCGGCGTCCGGTTCTGGGGAGGCAGCGAGCCGGGGGTGTGTGAGATGGCAGAGGGCCGGGCCTCCCCGGGGGTTGCGCGTGCGCGCGCGTGTCCCCGGCAAGGCTGGCGCTCTACCACCTTTTGGGGTGGTTCATGGGAGCGAAGTCTCGTCTCAGGGACTTTCCTGGCCGGGGATGGTTTCCACCCGCGATGCCCCAGGATCCGAGCTCAGTCTCCGGACCTTCCCGGAATTGGCCACGCCCCCTGATGCTGGCAGGTCGCCATGGTAACACCCCCCCCATCTCAGATGCGGCGTCCAGTACCTGCTCCTCCCGCATGGCTTGGAGCCGCTTGGCCTTGCTCTGACGGTAGTATTCCATGATCATCATGGCAGCGTAGATTTTCCCCACCGTCAGATCCGTGGCTGTGGGGCACAGAGTCGGCTTACCAGGGCCCCCCCTTCCTCTCCCCTCTCCCCCCATCCTTGCCACCTCCCTGGAGCGCTTTCCCCCGCCCTGTGTGGGCGCCCGCGCGTGGCGGTGGCCGGCTCTTACACTTGTGCGGAGTCACCAGGAGGTCCAGCGTCTTCTGCGATAGGTTGGGCCAAATGGCCATCATCTCCTTGCGCAACTCCGCATCCATCTGCTGCTTGTCGGCTCCACCTGCGATGGGGGTTTGGGCAGAGCTGACCGGGCCTCGGAGTCCACACCTCCCGGCTTCCTGACCGCCCCCACTGTGCGCCGCAAATCTCACTCACCACCTGTGTGGCTTGGGCTACGCTACCCCCTGCCTCAGTTTCCCCATCTGTGAAATGTGATGACAACAGCAGGACCTGTTTGGTGATCGGCGTGGCGAAGGCTCAGGCGGCCAGGGATGGGATCTCCTTCACAGGATGTGGGGACATCCTGTGGGGTTAAATGTCACTGCCCCCTCCTGAGCTCCCCCTGCATATTCAGACAAGCTCTGCAGCTGCTTCCTGAGACTCCCGCTTGTCATCCCAGTTACTCAGGAGGCTGAGATCTGAGGATCCTGGTTCAAAGCCAGCCCGGGCAGGAAAATCCATGAGACTCAGCTCCCATAAACTACCAAACAATCTGGGAAGTGGAGATGTAGCTCAAATGGTGGAGTGCTAGCCTTGAGCAAAAAGAAGATCAAGGACAGTGCCCAGGCCCTGAGTTCAAGCCCCAGGATCAGTACAAAAATAAATACAAGTGGAAACTTAATTTGACTATGGGGTTTAGAGGTGAGGCCTTTGGGAGGTGACTAGGGTTTTGGTGGAGGTGGGTTTGGTGGTCACATATGTAATCCCAGCAACTGGAGAGGCTGAGGCAGGGGGATCAAGAGTTCCAGGTAAAGCTGGGTGCCGGTGGCTCACGCCTGTCATCCTAGCTACTCAGGAGGCTGAGATCTGAGGATCGCAGTTCAAGGCCAGCCCGGGCAGGAAAGTCCATGAGACTCTCATCGCCAATGAACCACTAGAAAACCAGAAGTGGCACTGTAGCTCAAGTGGTAGAGTGCTTACGTTGAGCTGAAAAGCTGAGGGACAGTGACCAGGCCCAGAGCTCAAGCCCCATGACAGACCAAAAACAAGACAAAACAAAAAAAAAGGTCTAGGTAAGCCTGGGCTTCATAGTGAGAAACTGTCTCAAAGTAAGAAACAAAAACTGATACCAAGATATAGTCCCCATGATTGGATCCTGGTGGCTTTATGAGAAAGAGAGAGACCAGCTCAGCATGGTGAAGTATGCCTGTAATCCCAGCTACTAAGGAGGAGGAGGCAGGAAGATCACACATTCCAGGCCAGTCCCTACCACACAGTCAGACTCTGTCTCAAGAACAAAACAGAAGCTAGGTGCTGGTGGATCACGCCTGTCATCCTAGCTACTCAGGAGGCTGAGATCTGAGGATCGTGGTTCAAAGCCAGCCCGGGCAGGAAAGTCCATGAGACTTAGCTCCAATGAACCACTAAAAAGTAGGAAGTAAGTTGTGGTTCAAGTGGTAGAGAACTAGCCTTCAGCAAAAGCAGCTCAGGACCAACACAGTCTCTCGCCCCACTCCCCATCTCTCCCAGATGGGAAGAGGGTCGCTGGCTTTCGGCTTTGGGATCAGCACATCCAGTCATCAGCAAGTCATTCGGATGAGCAGAGCCTCAGCAAACCTTTATCCATCAGAGCCATGGAGAGCCTGCTGAGGCTTTGTGACAACACCTGAGTCTGTATTTTTTTTGTGGGGGGAGGGGCGATCCTGTAGCGGCCTCAGTTTCTTTTTGCACAAAGCTAACGCTCTACCACTTGTTCCGCAGCTCCACTTCTGGGTTAGTTTTGGTCGTAGGACTTGAACTCTGGGCCTGGGCGCTGTTCCTCAGCTCTTCAGCTCAAGACGAGCGCTCCACCACCTGGGCCACAGCGCTGCTTCCGGTTTCCTGGTGGTTCATTGGAGATGTTTCACGGACTGTGCTGCCCGGGCTGGCTTTGAACCGTGATCCTCAGATCTCAGCCTCCGGAGTAGCTAGGATGACAGGCGTGAGCCCCAACGCCCGGCTGGGCCTTGTTTGGTATACCTTCTTGGTGATACATCCAAACCTGGGAGCAGGGGCTCTTCCAGGCGAGTATGTGTGTGCGCGCATGCGCGTGCACAGTGCTGGGGATGGAACCCAGGGCCTGTGCAGGCCGAAAACTCTCCCACTGGGCCTCCACCTTTGAATTTAGCCACGCCCCCACGATAAAGCCACGCCCCCACGGCGGGTTTCTGCCCTCCCAGCACGTTCCCCGTGATACACCCAGCAGATGGCGCCCGTGAGCACCCGAGTGCTGCCATCTCTGCCTCGATTTCCCCGCCCTCCCTCTCCTCCCTGGCTCCTGTCCTGTCCTCTCCGTTGCTTCCAGGAGCCCGGTGTGACCCCCGCCTCCCTGCCTCTGCAGCGACCGAGGCCTGGCCCCGTGCTGTCCGGCCTGGCGGCCTCCCGACCTCGTTTACGCCGCCGTGCGCCCCGTGTGTGGAGCGATATCTGGCACGCATGCGCAAGGCGCTCCCTGAGGGCGTGGGGGGGCTGGAGGAAGGGGGGGGCGGTAGGTCCCTGGTCCCCGGGCGGCGGGGGCCCTGCGGCGGCCCTCCGCCTCCGCTCGCCATCCTTACCCTTGGCGATCTTTATGTCCAGGGCCGTGCGGATCAGCGCCATGAGGGTGGAGTTAAAGTGGACCGTGTTGTCGTCGGCCACGGGCAGATCCATCCGTAGGAGCCTCTACAGGAAACCGGGGTGAGGGCGGTCACTCTGGGGCCCCTGCTTGGGTCCCCCCAGGAGCCACCCCATCCCTCACCCCAGAAAACCCCCAGGAAGAACTCTGGAGAGCGCGGCGCGGGCGCTCCGTGCGTGTCTGACCCAAGGCCGGACGGAGCCCTCGGCCTTCCCAGGCTGGCCTCGAACTTGGCCGGAAGCGCAGGCTGGCCTGGATCTCCTAAGCGCTGAGATCCAGCCCCTCCCCTCAGGAGTCCCCCCCCCCCCCCCCGCAGTCGTGGGGCCTGAACTCGGGGCCTGGGCGCTGTCCCTCAGCTCTTCAGCTCAAGGCCGGCGCTCTACCACCTGAGCCCCAGCGCCGCTTCCGGCTTTCTGGTGGTTCATTGGGGATCAGAGTCTCTCAGATGTGCTGCCCGGGCTGGCTTTGAACCTCGATCCTCAGATCTCAGCCTCCTGAGTAGCTGGGATGACAGGCGGGAGCCACCGGCCCCGGGCTGGGTCCGGTTTTTGTTTTTTTTTTTTGACCCCTACATTTGTTTTTGACGCCCCCCCCCCCCCCCCCAGCGCCCCAGAGTTCTTCCCGAAGGCTTGGAAACTTTTGTGACTCCGAAGAGAAGGAACACGAGGCAGATTCAAGCAGCGGGTGGCAGACAGCCCCAGGCAGCGGATTCCAAGGCTGGCAGGGCAGGCTCCCCGTCCCGGCCCGGCCCCGCGCAGCCCGGCCCGGGCGGACGGGGCGGACGGGGCGCCAGGCAGGCAGGCGGCGCCGCCGCGGACACACGTGCAGCCGCCGGGCGCGCACACACACAGCACAGACAGGGCGCGTGCAGACAGCATCTGGAGACTCATTCATAGCTCCGTGGGAGGTGTCTGGGGTGTGGCCGGATCGGGGGTCTCGGTGCCCGGGCGGGGAGAGGGGGGCGGCCATCCCTGCCACTCAGGGGCGAGGCGAGTCCCTGCGTCCCGGGCCGGGGCTCGGTGCCCCGCGCTGGTTTGGCACGGATGTTTGGGGGGGCTGGGGATCCACACGGGTGAGACAGATGGGAGGGGTGGGGGGGGTCAGGGCAAATCCAGGGGGATAGGAAGCGGGGGCCGAGGCCGGAGAGGCGGGGGGGGGGGCACGCCGACGAGGGGGCCCGTTTCTTGGGACAGGGCGGGTCCCCATCTCGGAAGTGGGGGTGTCCGCGTTGCTCAGGGCGGCTCTCCCTCGGGTTTTCCAGCAGATGTGCTCCGTGGAAAAGAGGGGGAGCGGAGCCGTGGGCACAGCCTTCCGGGCGGAGGCCGGGGGAGGGGGCGAGGAAGCTGGGGGCCGGGGGACACAGGTGCAGAGAGGTGGAGGGGGGACCGACGCGGACAGACGGGAGGACAGGGAAGCCCCAGGGGTGGGGGTGGGGAGACGGGACCACAGGCTAATTTGGGGGTCTCTTAAATAAAATGGCCATTTCTGAACTTCTCCAGGAGGAATGGAGGGGGACAGAGCGTCTGTCCACGGGCACCCGGGGGGTCCCCCGGACAGAGGTCCCGAGGGAGGTCGGGCAGACCCCTCGTTCCATCAGCAGCATGCAGCCCCGCCCCCGCGGCCGCGGCCTGGGCCCCCGGCCCACTCTCAAACAATGGACAGGCATGTTGGGGTGTCTGGGGGGAGGTAAGGGGGAGGTGTCAGATCCCCCCAAGTCCCTAAGTCAGAGAGCAGCTTCAGGTGTGCGGGTGGCGGGGCCTGGGAGCTGTGAGGGCGCAGAGACGCCGTGGCGCCTCCTTTGGATGCGTATGGGGTCCAATTTGGTTCGTGGGGATGTGGGGGGCGGCTCCCCTCCTCCTCCCCCCGCGTGTTGGCCATAATGGAGTCTCAAAACGCGTAGACACTCATCAGGAGAGGACGGACACAGTGTGCAGAGTCGAGGGGTCATGAGCCAGTTACTCGAGGAGAACAAGGAAAAAAAGAAATCAATGAAGAAGGAGGAGGAGGAGGAGGAAGAAAACGCTGGAAAAAAAGAAAAGAGGCTGGAACGGTTGTTCTGAGCACTGGAAAAAAAAAAAAAAAAAGAATAAAAACCATCTCAGTGCTTGGAGATCTGGGTGGTGAAGATAAACTACCTTGTAAGCCATTCTGGCCGGACATTTCTTCCCCAGACCCAAGGGCGGAGACATGTGTCTTAACATCTGATACATGTCCGGGTAAGACAGGCGGCCCCTGGGAGCACCAGACACGAAACCGAAACACAAGAACCGGTGGGCGGGGCGGGGACAGGGGGGAGGGCGGGGGGGGGGGGGGGGGGGGAATGGGGGAGAAAAGGGGAAGTGGGGAAGAAACGGAAAAAAAAAGGAAAAACACATACACACCAAAAAATAAACCACAAAACCCAACATCAAAATAATAATAATAATAAAGAAAACCAAACCACACAATTGGCCAAAGTAGAGAAAGAGGCAGGGAATGATAAAATAGATATTCCAAATAAACAGAAAAGAGGAGGAAGGGGGAAAAAATGGAAGAAAAGGTCATTAAAAATGATCATTGTACTGCTCAAGAGTGTGAAAGAGAAGAGAGCGGTGTATTCAGATTTGGCAGTTTGGGGGCATCCGTTTGGCTGAGGCTGGTCTCTGAGGGGAACCGGGGAGCCAGGATGGGGAGAGAGGAGGGCTGGGGGCTTTTGGGGGGGCGAGGAGAGTGAAGGTGATGGTGTGTGTTTGGGGGTGGCAGGCAATGCAAAATTACCACCTTTCCCCCACAGGGGAGCTATCTGATCTGGGGGGACCTGGATGGGCTTTAGCTAAGAGCAAGCAGAAATGGCTGGGGGGGGGGGGCGGGGAAATAATGCTCCATGCTTGGCTGAGCCTATGTGATTGCATTCTTTCAGCTAAGAGACTTCGCTAGTTTATAATGCAAGAGAAAGATGGCATTGTTTGTCCTTCTTCAGTTTTCTATGTATATATATATATGAAATATATATATCGTTGAACCCCAAGCCACGCTCATTCCATGGAGAGGCAGCAGGTCTCTGGAAAAATCACCTTGCAAGCAACTCTATGAGGGCATTTCTTGCCTAAGCCGAGAGGGGGCGCTATTACTCGTAATAAACTGTACATATCCTTATAATGAATCCGCCCGCTGAAAGGAGAAGAGACCCAGTTAGAGGAACTCTGGGGGGCCCTGCCATGACACCAGCTCCCCACAGAGCACAGCCAGGCAGCCAGGAAGAGGCAGGGGTCGCCTCCTAAGGTGAAGAATGGAGTGACAGAGACTCAGGACAGGGACCAGAGGCATCCCGCCCCACGAGCACCCGGAGATCCCCCCACACCAGGGAAAGGGTGGTGCTGAGGGTTCCGGACTGGGGAGGGGGCTCTCTCTCCAGGCCCCTCCCTCACCATCTACCCGGGCTACAGGGGGCGAGGGGGAACATAAGGGGGAACCGGGGTTGAAGGGCCAGCACCTCCCCGCTGTGACCTAGGATTAAAAGAGTGAAGAGTTAAAAGGAGCCCTAAGCAAAAGAACCCCAGCCATGGCTCTCCCCAGCTGCCCCGGCTCCTGCTGGACCTGCCTGGGTTTGTGGGAATGCAAGGGTGGGACCCCTCCCGTAATGTGGAACTGGAACCTCGCATCAGTGGACAGGCTCAGGCTCAGGCTCCTGGGGGAACGGGGTGCTGGTGTCCATGTGTGTGTGGGGTCTCTGTGTCTCTTTTGGCGCCAGTCCTAGGGCTTGAACTCAGGGTCTGGGCGCTGTCCCTGAGCTTCTCCCTCAAGGCCATTGCTCTACCACTCTGAGCCACAGCACCACTTCTGGTTTTCTGCGGGTTAATGGGAGATTTGAGTCTCACAGACTTCCTGGGCTGGCTTTGAACCATCATCCTCAGACCTGAGCCTCCTGAGTAGTTAGTTTTACAGGTGTCAGTCACAGTGCCCAGCAGAGTGTGTGTGTGTGTGTGTATGTGTAGGTGGGGATGTCTTTTCATGGCTGGAACCTCACAGGGCCCTTGAAGGCCTGTTGTTTTTCTTGGGGGGACGTTTTCAGGCTTCACACATGCTAGACCAGTGCTCGACACTGAGCTTTGGGAAGATCTGCTACATACCCCAGGCTGGCTTAGAACTTGTGATCCTCCTCCTCAGCCTCTTGAATGCTGGAATTACAGGCGTGTGCCTTCATGCCTGGCTCTCCTGTTTTGTTTTGTTTTTTTCTTTTTTGGGGGGTGGGGATGCAGTACTAGGGATTGAATCTCAGAGCTTTGTACATATTAGGCAGGTGCTCCACTGTTTGAAACATGTCTCCACTCCCTATTTCAATTTATTACCATTCTTATTATTTTGTGCTTGTCCTGGAGCCAGAAAAGAGAATCTCTTGTGCTCACTTGGCTTTTTCTGCTCCAGGCGGGTGCTCTACCAACTTGGGTCACAGCACCACTTCTGGAGATAAGAGTGGCACAGACTTTCGTGCCTGGGCTGGCTTCAAACCATGATCCTCAGATCTCAGCCTCCTGAGCAGCTAGGATGACAGGCGTGAGCCACCAGCGTTCACTTCCTTGGTCCTTTGTGAGGTGGGGCTGTTTTATGCCCAGTACCGCGTGGGCTGTTTGGGGTCCCTGGGGTTGACAGGTGTACCCTTCTGCACTCAAACACTAGCTAGCCTTGAACCTCAGTCCCCCAGTCTCTTCCTCCCAAGAAGCCGGGATTAAAGGCGTGAGCCACGGTGCCTAGCATCTATTTCATTTTTTTTTGTCAGTCATGGGTCTTGAATTCTGGGCCTGGACGCTGTCTCTCAGCATCTCAGCTCAAGGCGAGCGCTCTACCACTTGAGCCACAGCGCCACTTCCGGCTTTTTCTGCTTATGTGGTGCTGAGGAATGGAACCCAGGGCTTCATGCATGCGAGGCAAGCGCTCTACCACTGAGCCACCTTCCCAGCACCCCCAGCATCTATTCTAAGCTTTGCCCTGGCTCTTCTCTTATCTTGTGGCCCAGCTCTGTGACGGGACCCCCACCCTTGCCTCCCTCCTTTCTCGTGGGGGGAGGCCGGGGGCTTGGGCAGGGAGGGCTCCCGCGAGTGCTCAGCCTAAGGTGTATGAGGGAGTCCCCATTCCTCCCGTCTCACTCCTGGACTAGCCGGCATGGCCCGTCCAGGAGGTGGGCAGGCTGTGGGCAGGGCAGGGGAGATGGCACCTTACCAGGCGGCGGGGTCGTACTCGGCCCACACCCGCACGTACTCGTCCAGGTGGTGCGGCCCCAGGATGGAGGAGTCACGGGTGAGGTACTCGAAATTGTCCATGATGACAGCCACAAAGAGATTCAGCATCTGCGGGGCCCAGGGAGGCCCAGAGAAAGAGGAATGGGGGAGGGGAGAGAGAGGGGAGAGGTGGGGGAGGAAGGGAGGGAGGGATGGGGTGGATGATGAAAGGGGTGACGCTGATCAAGATGCGCTGTATTCATCTTTGGGGAATGGCAAATCCTTTGAGCAACTGCTCAAAAGCTAATAATAATAATATAAAGGAAGCTGGGCACTGGTGGCTGTCATCCTAACTACTCAGGAGGCTGAGATCTGAGGATCGCAGTTCAAAGCCAGCCTGGGCAGGAACATTTGTGACCTTTTTGTTTTTGATTGGTCATGGGGCTTGAACTCTGGGCCAGGGCGCTGTCCCTCAGCTCTTCAGCTCAAGGCGAGAGCTCTACCACTTGAGTCACAGCGCCACTTCTGGTTTTCTGGTGGTTCTTTGGAGATCACAGTCTCAAGGTCTTTCCTGCCTAGGCTGGCTTTAGACCAAGATCCTCAGATCTCAGCCTCCTGAGTGGCTAGGATGACAGGCATGAGCCACTGGTGCCTGGCTAGGAGAAAGTCTTTGCCACCAGTCACATCCTAGAAAAGTCCACTCCTGTGGAGTTGGAGCTCTGGGGTTAGAACCACTTGTCTCTCTCCTCCCCCATTTCCCCTCCATGGCCAAAGACTCACCAGAAAGGAACAGAGGAAGATGAAGGAAACAAAATAAAAATAAGCAAATTCATTGCCGCAATCAGCCGTGAGGATGCCGGAGTTCCTGTCGCATGGTTTCCCACTGAGACAGGACAGCATGATATTGTGCCAGGCCTCGCCGGTGGCGCTCCTGCAGACCAGGGTGGGGGGAGAGGCATCAGGGACCCAGACACTCATGCTCTGAGGTTGGGAAGGTGTGAGTTCGAGTCCCAGGTTGATCATCACACTTTCCCTGGGAGCTCAGACAGGGGAATTCTCATCCATCTTGTGTGAAGACCAGGGAGCATTAAACATGCCAACATAGCCCGGTGCCAGTGGCTCATACCCATCATCCTGGCTATTCAGGGAGGCTGAGATCTGAGGATCTTGGTTCAAAGCCAACGTGGACAGAAAAGTCCTTGAGACTTTCCACTTGTCTGAGTGTCTGACCTTCTGTGGACATGCTGTCAAAAGCCAGGAGTCCCTGTTATCTCTCTCTGTGATCCCTGCCATCCTAGATCTGTTATCAAAACTGCCTGCCTCACTACTTCCTTGTTCCCCCATCTTTGGTTGATTCCTGCTGCCGCCCCCACCCCCCAACTCCTTTAAGATAATCTCAGGCGCTGGTGGCTCACACTTGGCTGAGATCTGAGGGTCTCGGTTCAAAATCAGCCTGTGAAACTCTTATCTCGAATAAAATTTCCCCTGGCCAGTCTGAATGTATAAACAGAGGCTAGGCCATGTTCTTGGGTTTAATCCTGTCTAGTAGTTAACTCATTCTTTATCCTCTGGAGGTACTGATTATTTATTTATTTTTTGGGTCCGGTCATACGGCCTGAACTCTGGGCCTGGGCGCTGTCCCTCAGCTCTTCAGCTCAAGGCTAGCGCTCTGCCACTTGAGCCACAGCGCCACTTCCGGCTTTTTTTTTTCCTTTTTGCTTATGTGGTGCTGAGGAATGGAACCCAGGGCCTCAGGCATGCAAGGCAAGCGCTCTACCACAGAGCCACCTTCCCAGCCCCTTATTACTTATTTAATATGAAACTTATTACCTATGAGGCATTTCTTCATCGGTTGCTCTGGAAGCCACATGGGCCCTCAGCACGACCGCCCCCCCCCCCCCCAATAGACTTTCCTGCTCTGGCTGGCTTCAATCTGTGATCCTCAGATCTCATCCTCCCGGCTGGTATTGCTCTGCAGCCACCACACCCCTCCGCCCTGGACCATTTTCCTCAGCCCAGACAGAAGTTGCGTCCCCGTCCCACAGCGAGTCCCGGTCGGTCCTCCTCCAGCCCTGTGCCCGCCTTCCCACTTCCGGTCTGACTTCAACCTCTCGAGGCGCCGTCACGCGAGCGGCCCCGGCCGGCGCGTGTCCTTTTCTCTGCATTCCCTCTCCATCTTAGAGTTCAGCCTTCCCAGGCCTGGGGTGGCGAGGAGAACGCCCTCCTCCCGTGACTTGCAGAGGGCCCACGCCACCTGCGGCCTTGTGTCCCAACCCCACCGGAAGTGAGGGATGACACCTGGGAACCGGAGGGGGTGTGGTGCAGACCCGCCGGAGACAGCGATGAGGCCAAGCCCCAATCATAAAAGAACGACCAGGACCACAACCGGGAGAGAACGAAGAGCACACAGCTCCAACTTCGAGGCCAGCGCCCGCTCCTCTCCTCCCCGCCGGAAGAGAAAGGCGAGGCCACGCCCAGACCGGAAGAGACGCTTCCAAGCCTCGCCCAATCAGAAGGGAAGGATGTGGGCAGGCGCTCTCCCGACCGGAAGAGGCTAGCGAGGCCCCGCCCAGACGACGCCACGCCCTACCGCAAGCCCCGCCCCTTCCTCACCGGAAGAGAAGCATAAGGGCCTGGAAGAAGGTCCGGAAGTTGTTGTGCTCGGTGATCTGGAAGTCGTCCTCGTCGCTGTCCTCGTCCTCCATGTCGATGCCGATGTTGCCAAACACCTGGGGAATCGGAGGGTGGTAATGGGGCGGGGGGGCAGCCAGCCACGACCCTGGGGGCTCCAGGGGACCCCGATGAACAACTGTGGCTGCCTCCGGCCCCCGGGCAGCTCTGGGTACCTGGGGGGCTCAGGACCCACCTGCATCCCGATGATGGCGTAGATGAAGAAAAGCATGGCGATCAGCAGACAGACATAGGGCAGGGCCTGGCGGGGAGAGGAGCCGGTGAGGCGGCGCGGAGCCCCCGGAGCCGGGGGGTCCCCGGGCGTGGGCCGGAGCCGGGGGGTCCCCGGGCGTGGGCCGGAGCCGGGGGTCCCCGGGCCTGGGCCGGAGCCGGGGGGTCCCCGGGCCTGGGCCGGAGCCGGGGGGTCCCCGGGCCTGGGCCGGAGCCGGGGGTCCCCGGGCCTGGGCCGGAGCCGGGGGGTCCCCGGGCCTGGGCCGGAGCCGGGGGTCCCCGGGCCTGGGCCGGAGCCGGGGGTCCCCGGGCCTGGGCCGGAGCCGGGGGGTCCCCGGGCCTGGGCCGGAGCCGGGGGGTCCCCGGGCCTGGGCCGGAGCCGGGGGGTCCCCGGGCCTGGGCCGGAGCCGGGGGTCCCCGGGCCTGGGCCGGAGCCGGGGGTCCCCGGGCCTGGGCCGGAGCCGGGGGGTCCCCGGGCGTGGGCCGGAGCCGGGGGGTCCCCGGGCCTGGGCCGGAGCCGGGGGTCCCCGGGCCTGGGCCGGAGCCGGGGGGTCCCCGGGCCTGGGCCGGAGCCGGGGGTCCCCGGGCCTGGGCCGGAGCCGGGGGTCCCCGGGCCTGGGCCGGAGCCGGGGGTCCCCGGGCCTGGGCCCGGTGACGCCACCGCCCCCCACGCCGCAGCTCCCTTACCTTGAAGGACTGCACGAAGGTCCAGAGGAGGATGCGGATGGTGTAGCCCTGCCGCAGGAGCTTGATGAGCCGCGCGGCCCGGAAGAGGCGGAGGAAGCTCAGGTTGATGAAGTTATTCTGGGGAGATGGAGGAAAGCAGGGTGACTCTCCACCCACCCCGAGCGGCTGAGAGCTGTCACCACTCACAGAGGCCCCCTACACGAAGCCAACCGACAAGAAAAAATAAAAACAACGACAGAGCAAGCCAGACCCCCCCCGCCCCCAAAATAAGGAGGGAGAGGAGAGAAAGCACTATTAATGCAATGGTGCAGAGGAAAAGAAACAAAAAGCAACTCAGGAAAAAGAAAAAAGGAAGAAAAATCAGGGGAAGAGAGGACGGGAGGGGAGGAGAGGTACCAACTCAAAAAGTCAGCCCCCACTCACAAAAATAAGAGGGAAGGAGGGAGGGAAGGGGGGTGGGGACAAAGAAATAATCAAAGAACAAGGAAAAGAAAATAGGATCTGAACCATCCAATCAGAAATTCAAACCAAACCAAACCAAAAACCAAACCAACCAAAATAAAATCACCAAAATAAAGTCGAGATGGCTTTTATTTCTCCCAACAACCAAATGCACTGAGACGAGAGGACACAAGCAGGTTCAAGGTGCGGGGCGGGCTGGGGCTGGGGTGGGGACACCCATCACAGGTGAACGATGCACAGATGCAGCACACACGCACGCGCGCGCGCGCACACGCACACACACACCCACGCGCGCGCGCGGGGCAGGCCGAGGTGGACACATGCGCTTCTTTCTCCGAGGGCATGTTACGCTCCCGGGCCAGAAATGCATCTGTCATGTGGGACTCAGCGGGCACCCTGCCCTGCCCTGGCCGAGCTGCCCACCCGCTCCGGCCCGCCCTGACCTCACCCCACGGGGCCAAGAGGAGCAGGGGGCTGGGAGCCAATGGGGCGAAAAGGGTCAAAGCATCTTTTCTTACCCCCTTGGCGAGCGGGGATGGGGAGGACGGGAGGGAGCTGGGGCTGTTCGGCTGCAGGGCCAGTCCTCGCTGATCGGAGAAGATGCATTTGGGCCCTGTTCCCCCCTCTCTCAGGGATGGCTTCTCAGCTTCTGGGGCTGGGTGCAGTGGCCTGCGGGAAGCAGGAAGGACTGAGCTCCCAAGGGGGGGGTGTCTGGGGGTCTTGGGGAGGGGCTGTCTGTCTGGCCCACCCAGGGGTGGGTGCTGGGGGTGGGGAGGGAGGTGGGGCCGTCCCTGCCCCCAGGACCTCCCTGAGTGGCTCTTGTCCCTCTTCAACCCTCCCTGTCCCCTCCTCCTCATCTAGGCCCTGCCTCGATTTCCTTCCTCCCACCCAAGCTAGAAGTGGAGCAGGTGGCCAGTTGGGAAAACAGTGGGGCAAGGCCCATGGGTCTCCTCCCTCCTCTCCCCCGCCCAGGGGGGTTTGAGAGGCTCAAAGTCACACATGGACGCAAGTGCCTGGACCGGAGCCGTGGTTCCTCCTTGTGCTATCTTGGGATTGAACCCAGGGACATCTGTGTGGCAGTCCAATCACTTGAATCACACCACCAGCTCCTAAAAAAAGTTTTTGTTGATTGGTTGGTTGGTTTTTGGGATGCGGATCTTGCTCCCTCAGCTTGGGGGGGCCTTGAACCTGTCCTCCGCAGACCTCTGTCTCTCAGTGGTTGGGATTATAGCTAGGTAGGAAAATGCCTGGGTTTCTTTTCCTTCCTTCCCTCCTTCTGCCCTTCCCTTCCTTTCCTTTCCTTGTGATTTGAAAAATCAAATTTTACCCATGAATCTTGACTTTCTGCCCTCCAGTTTTCCAAAGCCTGCCGTCGCACTCCTGGTGTAGTGATGTGAGTGGCGGGCAGAGGCCTTTGGCTTTGACAGCCCTGCCCCTTCCCTGGCCAGTGCTTGGTAGCTGGAGACAGGGATGCATGGGGTCTGCCCACCATGTTGGGTTCTAGTTGGAGGGGTTTGTGCGATCCCTGGGAGCAAGACCTCAAGGCAAGACTCAACTCAGCTCAGCTCAACCCTCAGCCAGGGGACCAAAGCCGTGTCCACGGCCTCAGACTTCCTGTTTCTTTCCTTTCCTTTCCCTGTCTCTGTCTTTATTTTTTTGGTGCTGGTCCTGGAGCTTAAACTCAGGGCCTTGGCTTCTTCCACTCAAACCTGGTGCTCTACTACTTGAACCACAGCTCCACTTCTAGCTTCTCGGTGGTTCATGGGAGATACAAAGCTCACGGCCCTCAGCCTCCTGGAGAGCTCAGATGACAGGCATGAGCGACCTGGCCAGCCTTCCTGGCTTTCAATTTGGGGAGCAATTTTTGTGGGATGGGGGAAGGGGGCCAGGGAGCCCTGCCCTGACCACCTGGGGTCCATCCACTGTGAGGGACCACCCCCACAGGCCCCTAAAAGCCCACTTGGCAAAGTCAATCATCCTCTGTGCCCAGCTGCTGACCCCCCATTCTGCCTGGGCCCCCCATCCCCTGCCCCGCTCCCTCCACTCCCGGGGAGCAAGCCATCCCTTCCACGGGTGGATCATAACATGTGACTCGGGTAAAAGCATGCAGAGGCCCAGAGGCCCCGGAAGCAGCCTGGGGGTCCCCGGGCAGAGCCCCCCCATGCAAAAGCAGCAAGGGAACTGGCAGGGGGAAGCATGCAAGCTGCCCATCTAAGCCCTTGGGGGGAGGGGAGGGGAGAGACACAGGAGGGGGAGGAGGGCAGGGGTGTGTGGGGGGAGGCTCGGGTCTTGTGACCCATCTCCAGCAGCACTTCCAAGGGTCTCCTCTCCCTAGCTTCTGTTTTCCCATCAAGGACCGGTGATGCTCTGGGCTCTGGGCAGGACCCAGGCCTGGAGGAGGGGCCGGGTGACCAGTCCTCTTGGCCCAGCCATCTGCACTCTCCGCTTGGTCTACGTCAGCCTCTCCTGCTCTTCCTGTGGCTGCAGCCACACCCCCTGCGTTTCCAGCCCTCCACTCTGGCACGCTGCCCCACCACAGGCTTTGCACATGGCCAGTGGGCCTCTCTGCTCAGGTCACAGCCTCCAGCCGACAGCGCTACCCCTTCAAGTGGATCCAGGGGTTATGGGTGTGGTGGCTGCCGCTGCCACTCCTTAGGTGGGGCTTCTGAGTCCCCCTAACTTCCCCCTGCTGCTCGCCGAGTCCCCCATAGGGATGTCTGGTGGAGGACCTGTGTCCTGCCAGCAGGGAAGAGACCTGGTGTGCAGACACCAGCGGGGCAGTGAGGTGGGGAGCATATGGGAGGGGTCCCCAAGAGGGGTTGTGAAGGAAAGGGGCCAAGAATGGGGGAGGTGAGGGGTGGCCGTGGGTGTGGGCGTCGGGCTGGCGTGGGGTGCAGGGGAGTGTGTGTGTGTGACATTGGTAGTACTAGCTCACTTAGGGCAGAGGAGGGAGGAGGAGTGGGGGAGACGGACAGACGGGGGGGGGGCAGGCGGGCTGTGGCTCCCCCCTTAGGAAGCTGGGGTGGCCCATGCGATGCGTCCACACTTAATGTAAGGCATTGACACTTCAGAAAGAAGAAAACACCAACCGGATTCTAGATGCGGATGTTGAAGATGGAGGGGCGGGCGGGAGATTTGGGGAGGCCAATCAGCGTTTTTGTTTTTTGTTTTTTTGTTTTGTTTCGTTTTGTTTGTTTGTTTTAACGTTGATTTGGAAACCAGTGCCAAAAACCAACAACAACAAAAAAAACCCAATGGGTTTCGGGGGATGGGGTGGGAGTGGGGTGCGGGCGGGGGTGGCGGGTTGGGGTTGAGTCATTGGTATATGAACACAGACCACGGCACGGATGAGCGAATGAGGTTCATAGTGCATTTTGATTGCATGAGGTTTTTTTTTTGGTTTTTTTTTTTTCAGACGGAGTTGTGCCAACAACAGTTTAAAGAGCAGGCATGGAAGGAAGACAAGACAGAAACACAGTCATTATCGACCGCGCAGCCCCCCGTCACCCCCCCCCACCTTCCTGGCCTCTTACCTGGGAGGCAGACAGAGACTATGGGGGACCCCATACAGCCTATCCTCCCCACCGGGGCACCCCTGCCCCCCCACCCCCCTCCTGAGGGCCAGGCCCGGTGGCACCATGAATATTTGTGGCAAAAGAACAATAGCAATAATAATAATAATAACTATTCTCAAAGCATGTCACATTGATCACTATTGAATTTTATGTTTGTTGTCTGTTGCAGGGCTTGAACCCATGGCCTGGGCGCTGCCCCTGAGCAATGTTTTGCTCAAGGCCAGTGCTCTACCATGTTGAGCCACAGCGCTACTTCTGGTTTTCTGGTGGCTCATTAGAGATAAGAGTCTCATGGACTTTCCTGCCCAGGGCTGGCTTTGAACGGTGATCCTCAGATCTCAGCCTCCTGAGTAGCTAGGATGACAGGGTGAGCCACCAGCTGATTGCTATTTTTTTCTCCCCTGTGTGCGTGTATACATGCGTAGGTCCTGGGGCTTGAACTGAGGGCCTGGACGCTGTCCCTGAGCTTTTTTTGCTCAAGGCTGGTGCTCTACTACTTGAGTCACAGCGCCACTTTCTGTTCTTTGGTGGTTCCTTTAGGAGATTTAAGAGTCTCACAGACGTCTCTGCCCAGGCTGGCTTCAAACTTGGATCCTCAGCTCTTTCCTGAGTAGCTGGGATTACAGGCATGCACTTTGAACACCTAGCTGCTCCTGCATGCTACAAAGAAGTATGGGGAAATGTGTCCCTGGCTTCTGGGGAGAGGCCAGGCTGGGACCTAGCTGCTCCTGCCTGCTACAAATTAGTGTGGGGAAATGTATCCCTGGCTTCTGGGGAGAGGCCAGGTTGGGACTGGCCTCGGCTTGGCCCTGTGAGCTGGTGTGGCTCAGCACGGCCAGGCTGCAGCTGCCTGCCCTTTTCCCATGTACAATTATTATGATCATTATTGTTATTGTTACTTTTCCTTTTTTTTTGGTGCCAGGCCTTGTACAGCCATGCAGGTGCTCCACCACGGAGCAGCTTCTCCTCCTGGGGGGGTCTCCTTCCCTCCTCACCGTCTCCCCTGGGTCCCCAAGTCAAGACTCACTGGCAGTAGCCAAGTGAGCAAGACCACGGGACTCAGGGTTGTCTACAACCTGAGAACGCACCCTCCCACCTCCCCGCGCGCCAGCCGCGGGTCCCAGGGGTCCCCTGACACCCTGAGTGTCTTCCCAAGACCAGCCCCTGGGGGCCACGTCCCGAGGCCCTGCGACCCCCACCCCAGACTGCATCAAGGCTGCAGGAACTCATGCTGCCGACTCCTGGGATGCACGTGTGCTCACTCGCGAGGCACAAGCCCATCGGTTTTCATGACCCCCGTGTGTGTGCGACCTGCACTGCTTATTCCTGAGCCCTGTCATTCACTCCTGAGGCCACGTCGGGGGGCAGGGCAGCCCCACATCTGGGTTTTGGGGCGCCCCCGCCTCCCTCCTCGTCCCTGGGTTCTCCCGTCTACGGTCCCCAGCCAAGGGCTGCCTGAGCCAGCGGCGGCGGGGCGACCCCCGGGTCTGCACCTCCTCCCCACGCCCCCATCTCTCCAGGCCCCAAGTTGCCCCAGAGAAAAACAGTCAGCTGGAGACTCACCCCAAACTCGGTGACCAGGATGTCCGTGATGCTGCCCAGAACAGTCACGAAGTCGAAGATGTTCCAGGCATCGCGGAAGTAATTCTAGAAGAGGGGGGGACGCACAGGACGGATGGCAAAGGCGGCCTCGGCGCCCCGCCGGTGCCCGCTTAGGCTGCGCGCGCGGTGGGGCCCCCTCCCGGGGAACCCCCCAAACGCCTTCCATGTCTCGCTGGGCTCCAGGGCCCCGTCTCCCCTCTGTGGGGAAAGGGGGGGCGCTCTGTCTTCCCAACATTCCCAAAGCACCCAGGCATCACTGGGCCCGCAGAGACATCAAAGCTACTTACCTGTCTTGAGGCCAGTAACAGAGATATTGAGTCAGGCTTTGAACTCGGGACTGTACTGTGTTTATAGGACATGTCACTAACCCACAGAATCTAGACTCAGATCCCAGTTCAAGTAGCAGCTGAGCTGTGTGGCTAGGGGCAACTGGCTTAACCTCTCTGTGCCAGTTTCCTGACAGTAACAGACTGCAGAGTATGGGCAGTGTGGGCAGTCCCTGGCCAGCAAAACACTCTCCACTCTCCAGAGTCCTCTGAATTCTATAGGATCCAGAACATTCCAGACAACAGTTACTCCATGAACCCCGAATCTCTGAGTGATCAGGAGACAGAGAGCTCCTCTTCTGAGCTCGATAAACATATTTGTTGATAAAAGCTACTGAGATGTTTGTCACAGCAGCTCAGCAGTGCTCTAAGCTGACTGATACATCCTCCCCTTCCCCGCAACCCAACCCTGGGCTGGGCCCTGGCTTGCGAGGAGGGACGCACAGATACAGCTGGATTGTTGGGAAAATAGCAACCAACCACAGCCCCCAGGGCCCTGGGACCCCCAGGCTTTCCTAACCCTCCCCTGCCCTCCCTACGCCATGAAGATGTAGCACTCTGCCTGGATCTAAAGGTCCTGCTTGGTAGCACCCTCGTGGAAGCAGGTCAGGACTTGGGGGCCTGGTCTCTGTCTTAGCTCCCTAAGATTTCCCATCTCAATTAGAGGCCTTTTATCATTTGATCTCAGGACCCCTGAGAAGTAGCCCTTGATTGACAGGGATGAGGGAGGGTATCAGCCCCCCAGCTTCCTCCTCCCAGACGGGTATGCTCTCTGCTGCCACCTGGAGGTCAGCACTGGAGTTGCACCTTGAGCTCATGGGCTTGGGAGGAGGGGAAGCGGAGGTGTGTGTGTGTGGGGGGGGGGGTGTGCTGGCGCTGTCCCCCGCTCCATGTCCCCAGCTGTGGGCTCTGCTTCTGAGAAATTCAAAATGGACACAACCCTCTAAGATGTTCACCATGGACCTCAAGCTCCAGAACTAAAAGGCTCTCCTGTCTATTGCCTAACGGGACATAAGGATCTGGGGGCTTATCTAAAACAGCAAGGGAGATTCAGGGCAGATTCCTGCAGGACTAGCAGGGGTGAGGACTGACAGAGCCTCGGTTCTGGGCAGAAGAATTCACCCAGTGGGCGACTGGCTCCCATGGAAAGTACTGCAGGGCCCAGAGCCTCTAAACCCCCAGGGCAGGATGAGCGAAGGGATTGGTAAAGGCAGGGCGCCGGTGGCTCACGCCGGCCATCCTAGCTACTCAGGAGGCTGAGATCTGACGACGGCAGTGTGAAGCCAGCCTGGGCAGGAAAGTCCGTGAGACTCTCATCTTGTTAACCACCAGACAAGAAGAGGAGCTCTGCCTCAAGTGGTAGAAAGCCAGCCTTGAGAAAAAAAACACCCAGGGATACAAGCCAGGCAGTGTGTTTGAGCCCCAGGACCAGCACAAAATAATATTTTGCCAGGTGCTGGTGGCTCATGCCCATAATCATAACTGCTCAAGAGGCTAAGATCTGGGAGTTATGGCTCAAAGCTAGCCAGACAAATCTGTGACACCCATTTGAGGCCACACATCAAAGACCTAACTTCTTTGCACACTTTTTCCGTTTTTCCATATGGGTCCTTTGGTTTGAATTCAGGGCCTGGGTACTGTCCCTGAGCTTCTTTTGCTCAAGGCTAGTGCTCTACCTCTTGAGCCATAGCTCCATTTCCTGCTCCTTTTGAGTAGTTTATTAGAGATAAGAGTCACACAGACTTTTCTGCCTGGGCTGGCTTCGAACCTCGATCCTCAGATCTCAGCCTCCTGAGTAGCTAAGATGACAGGTGTGAGCTACTAGCACCTGGCTCTTTGTGTGTGTGTGTCCAATTCTGGGACTTGAACTCAAGGCCTAGGCATTGTCCCTGAACTTCTTTTGCTTAAGGTTGGTGTTCTACCACTTGAGCCACAGCTCCACTTCTGGCTTTTTTGGTGGTGAACTGGAGATAACTGTTTCATGGACTTTCCTGCCGGGCTGGCTTTGAACCTCGATCCTCAGATCTCAGCCTCCTGAGTAGCTGCAATTGCAGGCGTGAGCCACCTGCTCCTGGCTCATCTTTATTTTTCACCTTCTACTCATGGAACTTTTCTTTGCATCTTGAAGACCATTTTTCATCATGGTGGCAAAGCACTTGAGCCCACTCACTTGGCAAGAAGACAGGTTCTCCAGGGGTCATGGTTTCCTTGGCCCTGGTGCCCTGAGCCCTAGCCAACAATGGAACAACATGTTCTCATGGAGACCAGAAAAACCAGGGAGAGAGGAAGGAGCTGGGGTCCCTATGTTCCCCTCCAAGGCCAAGCCCCTCAGTGGCCTCACTTCCTCTCAGAAAGCCCTGCCAGTCCTGGAGTTCGAACTCAGGGTCTGGGCACTGTCCCTGAGCCTCTCTGTGTTCAAGGCTAGCACTCTACCAGTTGAGTCACAGCACCACTTCCGGCTTTTTCTATGTATGTGGTACTGAGGAATGGAACCCAGGGCTTCAAGCATGCTAGGCAAGCACTCTACCACTGAGCCACCTTCTCAGTCCAGCCCTGCCTCTTAAACGTGCTTTTGCCTCCTGATTGTACCACTGGCTGATGGGCTGAGCCTTTGGCATATGGATAATCTGGGAGATATTTATGCAAACTGTAGCAACAGACAGCAAACCGACACAGTATTATTCACATGATCTTTCACAAATACCTATAAAAGTCATGCCTTTTTAATCCTAGCTACTTAGGAGGTTGAAATGTGAGGATCATTACACACAGCCAGCCAGCCAGGGCAGGAAAGTCCATGAGACTTTTTCTTTTGGTGGTCATGGGGCTTGAACTCTGGGCCTGGGCGCTGTCCCTCAGCTCTTCTGCTCAAGGCGAGTGCCCTACCACTTGAGCCACAGCACCACTTCTGGTTTTCTGGTGGCTCACTGAAGATAAGAGTCTCATGGATTTTCCTGCCTGGGCTGGCTTTGGACCACGATCCTCAGATCTCAGCCTCCTGGGTAGCTAGGATGACAGGTGGGAACCTCTTGTGCCTGGCTTCTATGAGACTCTTATCTCCACTAAACTACCCAAAAAGATGGAAGTGAAGCTGTGGCTCAGGTGGTAGAACGCTAGCCTTAATCTGAAAAGCTAGGAGCAGAGCCCAGGCCCTGAGTTCAAAATCCAGGAATGATACACATACAACAAAGAAAGGACAAAAAAGTTTCTCATCAAATTTCCGGGACCCCTCTTTCCTTCCCACGTACAGATAAGAAACAAAGAACTTAGGTTCTGACTACATGCATTCGTGGAGAAAAAGATCAAGTTAGTAGCCCAGGGAGACACATTTGAAAGAGAAAGAAATGAAGCAGAAGAGAAGACACAATATCAGAAATGAAGCCGTACAATAAGCTCAGATACTGATTTCCTGAAGTTATCATGGTAGTTATCATTAATTTATCCCATGTCTTGTCTTTATCATGGGGCTTGAACTTGGCATGGGCGCTCCTGCCCGGGCTGGCTTTGAACTGTGATCCTCAGATCTCAGTCTCCTGGGTAGCTAGGATGACAGGCGTGAACCACTAGTGCCTAGTTTTTTTTTTTTTGTTGTTTTTTTTTTGAGACAAAATCTTGCCATGCAGCCCATGCTGGCCTGGAATTCACCATCCTTCCTGCCTCAGCCTTCTGAGATGCTGGGATTACAGGTGTGTGTCACCACACTTGGCAGACACAGTCTGGATACCATGCTCTGAATGTCTCTAAGGCAGATAGTAATTATGTCTAGATTCCCCCACCCACACTTGGGAGGGTGTGGATGGGGGGGCAGCAGCCCTCAGAGCCCCTGTGGGTTTACCCCCAGCCGGCACCTTCAGCCCCACAGCTGTGCTTACCAAAATCCCAAAGGCCGTGACTTTCAGCACACACTCGAGAGAGAAGAGGGAGGTGAAGACGATGTTGAACACCTTCAGAGCGTTATCGTAAGCCGCGGAGGCTCCGTCGAACTAGAGAAGGAAGGAGGAGGGAGACATCAGTGTTCCAAGGGTCGGGGGAGGGAGGGCCGGGGAGGAAGCTCTGTGGCCATCTTCCCTGAGATGGGGAATTGGGGACCCAGGACAGAGCCGCTGGTCCAGGCCCCAAGCAAGGATAGTACAATCTCCTCGGTAGAGGCAAATGTCTGCAAACCCTGGGTCTTTACAAAGGCCTCCAACCCACAGTCTTCCTGGGTGCTGGGATTACAGGAGTGCACCACTGTGCCCAGCCTCAGATCTCAGCCTCCTGAATAGCTAGGATTACAGGAGTGGGCTAGAGGTGGGGCCTTTAAGAGGCGGGGCCTAGCGGGAGGAAGTTAGGTCTGAGGGGCGTGGCCTCCTCCTTCTGCCAGAGCCTTTGCTGGGCCCTGTGGCCCTGTCTCTTCAGTCACTTTATACACTTACCTTGCTTCAGGTGTTTCATTATATAATGGAAAAATAGGGTCAAACACAGACTAGAGGAAACATATGGCAGCTGGAAGGAGGAAGGAATGAAGTCCTTGGGCCTCTCATCCCCAGACGTGGAACAGCATGTCTAGTTCCCCTGGCTCCTACCCTGGGTTTTCTCCTTCCTTCCTTCCTTCCTTCCTTCCTTCCTTCCTTCCTTCCTTCCTTCCTTCCTTCCTTCCTTCCTTCCTTCTTTCCTCCCTCCCTCCCTCCCTCCTTCCTTCCTTCCTTTTCTTTCTTGCTTTCTCTTTCTTTTTTTCCCTTTCTTCCTTTTTTTTTGTCTGTCACGGGGCTTGAACTCATGGCTTGGGCGCTGTGCCTCAGCTCTTCAGCTCAAGGCTAGCACTCTACCACTTTGAGCCACCAAGCCAGTTCCACTTTTCTGGTGGTTTATTGAACTTTCCTGCCCGGACTGGCTTTGAACTGTGATCCTCAGATCTCAGTCTCCTGAGTAGCTGGGATTGCAAGTGTGAGCCACTGGTGTCAGGCTCCACCTGGTTTATCTGCAGCATGAACAAACATGGGTGTTGGAAAGACAGAGATTTAAGCAACACAAACGCAATGCCATGCGCAGCTGGGGAGGTCTTGGCTCAAAGGACGACTAACTGTAATAAAAGACATTTCAGAGACAGTCGGGGATCTCTGAATATGGATGTCCAGAGAAGCCAGAAGTGGGGCTGTGGCTCAAGTGGTAGAGCCCCAGCCTCAAATGGAAAAGCTACAACGGTAAAGCTGGACTCGAATCCAGGACTCCACACTTCACAGCTCAAAAGTTCAGACGTTTCACCCCAGGAAGCTCCAAAACTCCTCCCTGCTGTCCTCCCTCACTTCCTCCATTCCGCCTTCATGAAGGCTTCATCCCCCCTGCCCGAGGCTCAGGCCCTTCCCGAACTCCTGGGTCTCCGGCTGCCTGGCGCTCAGAGGCTGGTGAGGCCCTCTAGTATGCGCCCAACAGCAACGTTCCATCCTGGGAGATAACCAGGAGGGGCCTGCAAAGATGCAGCTAGGGGAGGTGGGGAAGGCTTTCTGGAGGAAGTACCCTGCGAGCCAGGCCATCAGGAAGGAGCTGGCCAGACAGAATGGTGGGAGCAGAGTGGCAGGCAGAGGGAAGGGAGGGCACGGAGGCTCAGAGGTGACGCGGGGTCCGTCGGCGTGTGACGCCGCTCACCTTCATCATCAGCACGATGGTGTTGAGGGCGATCAAGGCCATGACCGTGTACTCGAAGGGCGGGGACACCACGAACTGCCACATCCGGTACTGGAAACTCTGTTTGTTCTGCGGCATGTGCCGGGTGAGTGGCTTGGCGCTGATCGCAAAGTCGATGCAGGCTCTCTGTGGGGGAGAGGCCAGTGTGAGGCGGAGGGGGAGGAGGCCAGCGGGAGGAGGCTGACCACACGCCGCAGGGCTCAGCTGGTTCAGACATCTGCCCTCCCGGCTCCCAACCAACTCCTCAGCCACGCTCCTTTCTTAGTCAGGCCCTCGTGGCTCACGCCTGTAATCCCAGCTACTCAGGTGACTGAAATGGGAGGATCGTGGTTCAAGGCCAGCCTGGGTGGGAAAGTCCCATGAGACACTTTATAGTCACTGAAGCACAAAAAGCAAGGCTGTGGCTCAAAGTGGTAGAGTGCTAGCCTTGAGCAGAAAAGCTCATGGACAGCGCCAGGCCCCGGGTTCAAGACCCAGGGTCCCCCTCCCCACAAGACACAGAAAGTTGCTATGACTGTTTCAGGAGTCACTTTGTGCCTGTGTTTACCTACGATCCCACCTCAAGGAGAGGAACTGGGTTGCCCAGGGAAGTTAAGCTACTGGCCTGAGATGGCACAGCCCCCAAGGCTGCTACACTGGAATTTAAACCAAAGTCCTGGAGCCTCGGCTTGTTTCTTAGTGCATGTCTTATTTCCCCTCTCTTGCGTTTTTTTCCCCTGTTCTTTGGGCAGGTAGCAAGGTTTGAACTCAGGGACTTGTGCTCACGGCTGGTGCTCTACCATTTGAGCCACATACATCTCATCCAGCATTTCATGGATAATTGGAGATGAGTGTTACACAGACATTTTGTGCCCAGGCTGCCTTTGAACCGTGCTCCTTAGATCTCAACCTCTTGAGTAGCTAGGATGACAGGTACCAGTACCTGGCTCACATATCTTTTTTTTTTTTTTGGTCGGTCGTGGGACTTGAACTCCGGGCCTGGGCGCTGTCCCTCAGCTCTTCAGCTCAAGGCCAGTACTCTACCACTTGAGCCACAGAGCCACTCCCAGTTTTCTAGTGGTTCATTGGAGATAAGAGTCTCATGGACTTTCCTGCCCGAGCTGGCTTTGAACAGTGATCTTCAGATCTTAGCCTCCTGGGTAGCTAGGATGACAGGTGTGAGCCACTGGCGCCCGGAAGGTGTCTACAATTTAATAGACACCAGAAAAGCAAACTAGAAGACAGGGTTGAAGACATCCAGTTGATGAGAGTCAACAAAGAGAGACATCTTGTATTAAAAAAACAAAAACCATAGGAGGCTGAGATCTGAGGATCACAATTTGAAGCCAGTCCTGGCAGGAAAGTCTGTGAGACTCTCATCTCCAATAAAAAAAAGCCAGACAAGCCGGGCGCTGGTGGCTCACGCCTGTAATCCTAGCTACTCAGGAGGCTGAGATCTGAGGATTGAGGTTCAAAGCCAGCCCGGGCAGGAGAGAGCGTGAGACTCCTATCTCCAATAAACCACCAGAAAACCGAAAGTGGCGCTGTAGCTCAAGTGGTAGAGCGCTCGCCTTGAGCTGAAGAGCTGAGGGACAGCGCCCAGGCCCAGAGTTCAAGCCCCACAACCGACCAAAAAAAAAAAAAAAAAAGCCAGACATAGTGCTTTGGCTCAGTGGTAGAGCACTCTAAGCCAAAAGGAACTCAGGGACAGTGCCTAGGCCCAAAGTTCAAGCCCAGGACTTGTAAAAAGAAAGAAAAAAGAAAAAAAAAATCAGCTGGTGCCAGTGCCTATAATCCTAGCTACCCAGAAGGCTGAGATCTGAGGATCACAGTTCTAAGCTAGCCTGGGAGGAAAGTCCATGAAATTGATCATCTCTTAACTACCCAAACCTGACAGTGGAGCTGTGACTCAAGTGGTAAGGGCTAGCCTTGAGCAAAAAAGCGAAGTGGCAGTTCTTGGGTCCTGAGTTCAAGCTCCAGGACTTGCACACAAAAAAGCAAAAACCAGCCCCTTTGTGACTCTAGGGGATACTCATTACTGCAGCATACCCTGGTCTGAACTGACTGATACATATCACGTGGCGAAGGGAAGTTCATGAGGGCTGCCCTGCAGAACTGCATCCCGCACAGAAGAAGCAAGTGTTGGTTCCTGACCGTGCTTATGTGTGAATATGGGGTGGGGTGGGGTCGCAACTGGGTGTCAGTACCTCGTTTTTCTCCAGGCTGTACTCCTCCATCATCTTATCCCCCTGCTCCTGGAAAGTGATGATAATCAAGGCCACGAAGATGTTGACAAAGAAGAAGGGGAAGACCACGAAATAGACCACGTAGAAGATGGACATTTCCATGCGGTACCCAGGGCTGGGGCCCTGGTTCTCAAACGTGGCGTCCACTGAATGCTTGAGGACCCTGTGGGGAGTGGGCAGAGCAGGGACAGGAATGGACAGAAGCATGGAGAGGAAATGGAAATGACAGAAAAGTTACCTTTACTGATAAGGTTACCTCTACAACAAAGGTTGGTGGTACTTGTACTAAGTACCCAGTACTTGTGCTAAGTACAGTGTCGGTGATACTTAGGCTAAGTACCCACTTGTTCTAAGTGCCAGGTTGGGCTGTGTTCATGCTAAGTATCAAGTACTGCTAAGTACCAGGGTTGGCAGTACTGATGCTAAAGCACTGAGTACTTCGGCTAAGGATCCAGGTTAGCAGTAATGGTACTAAGTGCTATGTACCTGGTGCTAAGTACCAGGGTGAGTGGTTGTGATTCATCAGCAACATGCCTAATATTTTAGTGATTTTCACAGCCACCCTCTTGGGGCTACTACTGGCTCCATCTTGCATGTAGGGAAACTGAGGTACATAGATTGCAGGGGTTTTCAAAGCAGGAGAGAAGGGCACAAAGACTACAGCACTTTAAAAGCCCACAAGGAAGAACTTGTCAGAATTGTAAGTGATGAGGACCCCCCTCTTCCCCGTCCTCCGGTGGCCCCCACATTTGGGGAGACCTGTGCTAAATGCCAGCAGGGGACGGGTGGGACTCCAGAGGTCCCCGGCCTGCGCCACAGAGGAGACTATGGCGAGGATAAGCAGAGGCCACACAAGGCCACGTGTCCAGACCCACAAGGTCACGGCCGCCGCCGTTTTGTGGGAGGTGGCACTGGGACTTGAACTCAGTACCAAGCTTTGTACTCACTAGGCAGGCTTCACCCAGCCCATTTTGTTGTCATTATTGTTTGGACAGGGTCCTCAAGCCTTGGATGGCTATCTTCCTATTTTTGCCTCTTCTGTAGCTGAAATGAACAGCTGTGCACTACCTTGCTTAGCACTCTTTTATTTTAAATTCTTGGGACACCGAGCACGCCCTGCATTGAGCCACACCCCATCACTGAGCGACTTCTCTGAGCCGAGGTCTCTACAAAGCCACACCAGTCACTGCGCCACGCCCCAAATGCTGAGCCACGTCTTATCACAGAGACAAACCCCACACAGGGCCACGCCCCCACCTGGAGCTCTACCCTATCACAGAGACACTCCCACACTAGGCCACGCCCCCGCCTGGAGCTCCACTCTAACTCAGAGACACTCCCCACACTGGGCCACGCCCTTGCCCGGAGCTCCGCCCTATCACAGAGACAGGCCTCACATCTGGCCACGCCCCCACCTGGAGCTCCACCCTATCATCCACAAGGGCCTTCATTGGGCCCTGGGCCGCTATAGTCTCGCCTCCTACACTGAGGAGCCATGCCCCCACCATGGCCACACCCCGACGCTGAGCCCAGGGCAAGCCCTCACCCAGAGCTGAGCCACCCCTCTAGAAAACCAACCCTCACTGAGCTACGCCCTAGCCAAGCCTTAACCACGGCCCCAGCCACTGGGCTGCCCACCGGCCTCAAGCCTGTCCCTTCACACCCTAGCAAGGTCCCTGCTTTGGGATCAGAGCCTTCCACCCTCATTCCCCCCGCCCCCCCCAGCTTCCCACCGCCCTACCAGCTGGCCCCGCCCCTCTCCCCGGCCCCGCCCACCCAGCCACGCCCTCACAGGCTCGCACCGACCACGCCCGGGCCCCGCCCCGGCCCCGCCCCGGCCCCGCCCCGGCCCCGCCCCCGCTCACTGCGGCCAGCCTTCCCCCGTGGACACGGTGAAGAGGGTGAGCAGCGCCCACAGCACGTTGTCGTAGTGGAACTCGTACTTGCGCCACTCCCGGTCCCGGGCCTTCACCTCGTTCTTCTCGTACAGGAGGTACTTGCCCCTGCGGGACGCGAACGTGAGGCCCCAGCGCCCTGCGGCCGCAGACCCAACATCCAATCTCTGCACCCAGAGGGCCGCGGGAGGGGCAGGAAGCCGGGGCTCATTCCCCACTGGACCCAAGTGTCGTCCCCCCCCCCCCATCTTTTGTACGGACACGAGGTCTCCCTAAGCTGCCCAGGCTGGTTTTGAACCCCTGAGCGTGAGTGATTCTCCTGTCTCTGCCCCCTGAGTAGCTGGGGCTACAGGAGTGCGCAGGTGTGCCTGGCTAGGAGCCATCTCACAGCCACAAGCAGCCCAGAAACCGATCTGGACGCCTGTGATCCCGGCACTCGGGGGGCTGAGCCTCTCCAGTGACATTTAAAAAATAGTGCCAGGCACCGGTGGCTCATGCCTGTCATCCTAGCTACTCAGGAGGCTGAGATCTGAGGATCACGGTTCAAAGCCAGCCTGGGCACGAAAGTCCATGAAACTCTTATTTCCAATAAACCACCAGAAAGCTGGAAATGGCGCTGTAGCTCAAGTGGTAGAGCACTCGCCTTGAGCTGAGGAGCTGAGGGACAGCGCCCAGGCCCAGAGTTCAAGGCCCACGACTGACCAAAAAAAAAAAAAATAGTTTCAGAGATAAAGTATTTCTAGTTGTTTCTCTGGTGTCTACAGCTCCTTCCCAGTTATTACAAAAATGGGTAATAACAACCAATTGTCCTTGATCTGCAAAGACAAAAAAATATATAGTAACTAGTAGCTGGGCAGCCATGGCTCACGCCTGTAATTGCACGGTTTAGGAGGCTGAGATCTGAGGATCGCGGTTCAAAGCCAACCTGGGCAGCAAAATCCATGAGACTCTCATTTCCAATGAACCTCCAAAAACCAGAAGGAGAGCTGTGACTGAAGTGGTAGAGCACCAGCCTTGAGCAAGAAAAAAAAAAGCTCAGGAGCAGAGGCCAGGCCCTGAATTCAACACACACACAAATATTACTGAGCGGTAGACAGAGTTGGGCAATTGCTAGGCAATTATTTGGCAAGGAGCACTAGGTTATTATTATTATTACTTCTTTTTGAGACAGGGTCATGGTATGTATGTAGTCCTGGCTGGCCTGGAACTCCCGATCCTCCTGCCTCAGCCTCCGGAGTGCTGGGATTATAGGCATGTGCTACCAAACTCACCTACCTTCTGGATCCTATGTGGGGATGCTTGAGTGTCTTTAATTCCAGAACCATTTTATTTGCTTTTCCCAGATTCAACACAGCTGCAAGGGTGCAAGTTTCCGTGCTTCCCAAGGGTTCCCGCCACGGCCTCTCTCCCCATCCACACCCCCCGCACACACACACGGGGCCCCACAGATGACAACTTACCGACAGTCTTTCTCAAACTCCTTGGACTCATCTGTGCAGTGGAAAAACTTTCCTTTGAACAGCTGGACAGCCACCACGGCGAAGATGAACATGAAGAGCATGTATACAATGAGGATGTTGAAGACGTTCTTCAGTGAGTTCACCACGCAATCGAACACCGCCTGCGGGGGGGGGGGGGGGGGGCGAGGCAGCATGAGGCCAAAGCACCCCCGGACCCATACACCCATGGGGTCTGCCTGCCAGCACTCTGGGGGCTGTGGGAAGACATGGGATCATTTTTTCTTTTGGTTGTTATGGGGCTTGAACTCTGGGCCTGGGCGCCGTCCCTCAGCTCTTCAGCTCAAGGCGAGCGCTCTAACACCTGAGCCAGAGCGCCACTTCTGGCGGTTTATTGGAGATGAGAGTCTCACAGCCTTTCCAGCCCCGGCTGGCTTTGCACCTCGATCCTCAGATCTCAGCCTCCTGAGTAGCTCAGATGACAGGTGTGAGCCACGGGCGCCTGGCATCTTTGCTGAACCAACTTTCCTGTCTGTGTCCCCTGACCCAGACGGCAGAAGGACTATGCATGTCCCGTCCGTCATCTAGAGATGAGGGACCAGGGCAAGTTCTGCGCCACTGTGCAGAACTCTGGAATCTGAAGAGGGTCCCACACAGAACACCCTCACTGTCATCATTTTGGGGGTGATAGGTGAGTCACTCAGGAAGGGCTCCTGACTCCATCGGAGAGAGAACTTTTGGAGTCAGACTCAATCTTGTTTTAATTTTGCCAGTCCTGGGGCTCAAACTCTGGGCTTGGACACTGTCCCTGAGCTTTTTGCTCAAGGCTAGCACTCTACTACTTGAGTCATAGCACCACTTCTGGCTTTTTCTGTGATTAATTGGAGATAAGAGTCTCACGGACTTTCCTGCCTGGGCTGGCTTTGAACCGTGATCCTCAGATCTCAGCCTCCTGCGTTGCTAGGATGACAGGCGTGAGCCACCAGCGCCCGGCCACATGTAGCTTTTTGCTGGTTAGTTGTAGATAAGAATTTCACAGACTTTTCTGCAGGGCTGGCTTCAAACGGTGATCCTCCAATTTCAGCCTCCTGAGTAGCTGGGATTATAGCTGAGAGCTGCCAGCGCCCGGCTGCCTATTTTTTTGGTATCTGAGACACTTACTTCTGGCCCAGGCTGATCTGGACCACGATCCTCCTTTTTATGCTTCCCATGAAGCTGGGATGGCAGGAATGTACCACTGCAGCTGGCTCGTGGTCACAAATTGCTTCAGAAACTTTTTTTTTGCCCAGGCTGGCTTTGAACTGGGATCCTCCCTAGGTGGGCCTCTAAGTAGACAGGATCACAAGCCAAAACTTGTTTTGCTTTCCTCCCTCTCTCCCTTCCTCCCTTTTTCCCTCTCCCCCTCTCTCCCTCTCTTTTCTCTTGTCTTCTCTCTCTCTGAACAGCAGCTTTTGGGAATGGGGTCCTTGCACCTAAAGTTCCTGGAACATTTCCATAATACAGAGATTTTTTTTTTAAAACTCCACACGTTTTACTGCTAGGAATTTGTAATAACACATTTCTCCAGCCCGGAGCTGGCAGCTGAGCCTTTTAACCCAGCTACTCACCATGCTGAGATCTGAAGATAAGGTTTAAAGCCAGCTCAGCCAGGAAAGTCCATGAGACTCTGATGTCCCATGAGCCAGCAAACAGCCAGAAGTGGAGCTGTGGCTGAAGTGGTCGAGCACCAGCCTTGAGTGAAAATGCTCAGGGACAGTGCACAGGCCCTGAGTTCAAGCCTCATGATTGGTGTGAATGCACATGCATGGGCATGGCACATGGGCACGGGCACATGTGCGTGCACGTGCACACACACACACCACAGACAAAAAGCTTGTTACCAGTACCACATTTAAAAAATTCTAAAAAGTTAAAAAATTTTAAGTTAAAAATCTGGGCTGGGCGCTGGTGGCTCCCGCCTGTAATCCTAGCCACTCAGGAGGCTGAGACCTGAGGTTCGTGGTTCAAAGCCAACTCTGGCCAGGAGAGTCCGTGAGACTCTTACACCTAATGACCCAGCAGAAAACCTGAAGTGGCGCTGTTGCTCAAGTGGTAGAGAGCTTGCCTTGAGCTGAAGAGCTCAGGGACAGCGCCCAGGCCCAGAGTTCAAGTCCCACAACTGACAAGGAAAAAAAAAAAAAGAAAACAAAGAAACTATTTTTCCTCCCTCAGACTTGGAAACCTGTCTCAAGTCTAGAATTCACTAGGTATACCCAGGCTTGGCTTTGAACTTCCAATTGTCCTGCCTCTGCTTCTCCCGGGCCGGGATTACAGGCGTGCCCTCCCGTGCCCGGTCAATGTGGGGTCTTGAGCGAGGCTCAACCCGACACGGCGGGCCTCCCTCACCAGCCTCACCTTGAGCTTCGGCAGGCGCTTGATGGTTTTGAGAGGCCGCAGCACCCGGAGCACGCGGAGGGATTTGATGGTGTTGATGTCCTTCCCTTTGCTGTTGCCTCTGTGGACGATGTTGGGGTGGGAAGAGAAAAGGCAGAGGTGAGGTTGGGAGAAGGGGGGCAGGGCTGACGTTTGGTATGATTCCCCATTGCCCCGAGTCTAGGAGTTTGGGGTGAGCTTGGCACCCCCCAACCTTGGCTTTTTAGAGCCAGTGAGGTTGGTTTTTTGTTTTCCTCAAGGTTGGTGCTTTACCACTTGAGCCGCAGCTCCACTTCTGGTTTTTTGTTGGTTCATTAGATAGAGATCGGAGTCTCATGGACTTTCCTATCTGGGCTGGCTTCGAACCTTGATCCTCAGATCTCAGCCTCCTGAGTTGCTGGGATGACAGGTGGGAGCCACTGTTGCCAAACTTGGTCTGGGGGGGTCAACTGCCCCGCCGCACCCCCCCCCCCAGTTCTTGTGAGGCCTTTGTTCTGGTGTGTGTGTGTATGTGAAGATCCTATGTTCTTTTTAAGGAGGGCCATGGCGGGCAGATGGAAGCCTTCCTCCTTCTAGAAGCATCTTCGGAGATGCTTGGGGTGGTGATGCACACCAGGCCCCCTCCCTCGAAGCCAGGGACAGGAAATGACCACAGCCGAGGTCAGTGCCCCCCCACCCAACCTGGTGCCTGCACCTGGCAGGTTCAGCCTGCACAGGCTCAGCTAGTGGGGTGAGGGGACCCCTGGACTCCCCCCAGAACAGCATGGCGGGGGGCAAGATGCACAGATCCCCAAACCCACCAGCCTGGCTTACAGTGGCCAGCCCGCCCCGGGCATCAGCGCCCCCAGTGTCCCCCATCTCAGGGCCGCCCCCATCCCCTCCCACATCCAGCCCTGGAGCTTCTGAGTTCTGAGCCAAGCCAGCCTCAGGGCCACGAGTTCGAGGTGCTCAGGCCCCACACCTTCCTGTGTCTTCGGGCCATGATCTTTGGCCTCTGACTGTGCTGTAATGTTGTCATTTTTAAATTTTGTTTGTTTTTTGAGATAAAAGTCTCACTACGGGGCCCAGGCTGGCCTGGGACTTATCCTTCGCCTGCTTCAGCCTTTCCAGTGCTGGGATTACAGGCGTGCGGCACCGCACCCGGCAGCTGCTAAATCACAGAGGGGAAGAGTGTCCATTCTCTGCCCCAGCCCCCCCTGCTCCTGGCTCCTGGCTTGTCTGCGCCTCTGTCATCTGGGGTGTGTGTGTGGGGGGGTGTCACTGCTCACTCCAGTTCTCTGAGTCATTAGAAATGGGTCTCAAGGAGGGTGTACCCCCACCCGGTGAGTTTGGGACAAGAATGGTCAGAATCATCAGAATGACAGGATCAGATTCTACGTGTGTGTGTGTGTGTGTGTGTGTGTGTGTGTGTGTGCACATGTGCGTGCATCTGTGTTGGTCCTGGGGCTTGAACTCAGAGCCTGGGCACTGTCCCCGAGCTTTTTTTTTTTTTTTGCTCAAGGCTGGTGCTCTACCACTTGTGCCACAGCACCACTTCTGGTTTGTGTTTTTGGTGTTTAACTGGTGATAAGCGCCTCCCGGACGTCCCTGCCCAGAGGTTGGACCTTTGAACCCCGATCCTCAGATCTCAGCCTCCTCCTGAGGAGCTGGGATGACAGGCGGGAGCCACTGCTGTGGAGGTCTGTAGTCACTGGAGTAAGCGACAGGACAGCACTGAGAACACAAGGCCAGACAAAGGAGGCCCAGAAAGCACGTGGCTGACAGCAGGAATGGAGGACGAGGGGGAGAGGGAGAGAGAGAGAGTGAGAGAGGGAGAGAGAGAGACAGAGACAGAGAGGCAGAGAGACAGAGAGAGACTTTACCGTGCGCTGCTCCTGGGCAAGTGATGTGGCGGGGGAGACAGACGGTGAGTTTCCTCAGAGGAGAGAGAACACAGAACACGCGAACACGCGAACACGCACAGACACACGAACGCCTGGGCCCGGGCCTCCCCTCCCCCACCCCCGGGCGGCAGACAGACACCGCCCACTTCCAGCCAGCTGGACACCGGCCCGTCCACGTTCGCCCCGCCCCGCCCCGCCCCGAACCCCAGGGTCCACCAAACACAGATTTCCAGGAGTGGGGCTGCCCGAGGGCTGGCAGGAACTCCAGGAGCACTCGACACTCCTGTTGGCTGCTTAGAGCTGGCAGACCCCCTTTTTCCATTTGGGGCTCTGGGGAGGCCTGAGCTGGTCTTAAAGGAGGTGGCTCGGGAGGGGGCCTGGGTTTGATTGTGCTCATCAGCGCCAACGACCCTCCCCCGGGAAATGGGTGGGTGGTGATAGAATGCTCTGGAAATGGTTTGGTGCTGGGTTTGAACTCGGGGCTGTGCTTGCTTGTCAGGCACTTGGGTCATGTCCCCAGATCATTCTGTCATAGTTATTATTATTATTTTCTAATGAAATCTCACATTTATGAGCAGGCTGGCCTCAGACTGCAATCCTCCTATTTATACTTCCCACATGGCTGGGATGACAGGGATGCTCTACTGGGTCCAGCTATGCATTGTGATTGGGGTCTCCTGGCCTTTTCTGCCCTGGAATTGCTATCTTCTCAATCTCTACCATCTTTGCCTCCTCAGCCTCCTGAGGAGGAGGAGCTGGGATGACAAGTGTGAGCCACAGCACCCGGTCAGTGATACATTTTTAGAGCACACAGAATAGCTTCGCTGCCGCGGCCTTCTCCTGGGCTTCCTCCAGGCTCCTCCCCCCCCCCCCCCCCCCCACCTCTGGCTGTGGGAGTTTTAGCTTCCTGCTTTCTGGGCTGGTGCTGGTGGAGTTTCCACCAACACTGATTTCCACTGATCTGCAGTTTTGCTGTGGCGCGTGGTGTCCTGCGCGCCCATCCCTGGCCTAGCCTGTACCAACCCAGTGCCCTTTTGCATCGGAGGAAGCCTAGTGGGGTGGTGATTTGCGAGGGTACACGGCCAAGCCAGCACCAGCGCTGGATTCAAACCCAGAGCTGCCGATCTTGCACTCAAACCTCAGAGCTCATCACGGTCGGGGGAAAAAAAACAACAACAACCCACAAAAACCCAACTTGATCGATGCCTTTGGCAATGGGGAGGAAATTGCCAATTGGCTTCCTGGAAATGTGGTTGGTGGGCACGGGTTGGAGGCGCTGCCGGCGCTGCCGGGCCTGGGCCTGGGGAGGCCGGGCGGCACCAGGCCGGTGGCGGGCAGCGGGGACAGGGTCGCCACCGCCGGCCACTGCCCCGCCGCAGGGCACCCGGTCGCGCGGCTGATGACACATGGGTGCGGCTCACGGTTAGTGGATGGACGACACACATGCGCACGCGCACGTGCACACGCGCACACACGTACACACACACACATCACCGAGAAGCAGGAGGTCTGGAAAGGTTCTGGAAAGCTCCAACAGAGCCTTTGGGGCTCCCCTGGGGCTTTGGCCCCTGCTGCTGTGGCTGCAAGGATATTTTAGTTTTTGGTGCCAATCCTGGGCCCTGAACTCAGGGTCTGGCGCCGTCCATGAGCTTTCTTTGCTCAGTTCTGGCGCTCTGCCATTTGAGCCACAGCGCCACTTCCGGCTTTTGGGTGGTTCACTGGGGATAGAGTCTCAGGGACTTTCCTGCGCAGGCTGGCTTTGAACCTCGATCCTCAGACCTCAGCCTCCTGAGTAGCTAGCATGACAGGCAAGAGCCACCGGCGCCTGGCTTCCTTCCCTCCTTCCCTTCCTTCATTCCTTCCTCCGCGGGGTTTGAACTCAGGGCCTCGTGCTTCCTAAGCAGGTGTTCTACCCCTTGAACCATGTCCCCAGCTTTGTTTTTCAGCCGGGGTCTCAGGTTGGTCTTCTCCCACCTGTGCCTTCCCATAGCTGGGACTGTGGGCCTGAGTGACTCCACCTGGCGAGTCGGTTGAGCTGGAGGGGTGGGGGATGGCTCCTAAATTTTTTTTTTTTGGTCTGGTCGTGGGGCCTGAACTCTGGGCCTGGGCGCTGTCCCTCAGCTCTTCAGCTCAAGGCTAGCGCTCTACCACTTGAGCCACAGCGCCACTTCCGGCTTTTTTTCTTTTTGTTTATGTGGTGCTGGGGAATCGAACCAGGGCCTCAGGCATGCAAGGCAAGCGCTCGACCACTGAGCCACCTTCCCAGCCCTGGCTCATAAATTTTATGCTGTGGCTGTCTTCCATTCTAGATTCTTGATCTTCCTAAACTCTTACACCTCCCCTCCCCCAAAGCTGCTAGGATTCCAGGTGGAGGATGGGCTATCATTGGAAACAACGGGGTTAATCTACCGTCTGTAATCTTCACCTCCGTCTGGGCCCAGGGGACAGAGCAGAAGGTGTGGCAGAGGAGGGGGCGGGCCTGAGCCCCGGTCCCCGTCCATTCCTAACCAGACAAAAGGCAAAGGCCTGGCGGGCAGCCCGTGCCAGACACCGGCCAGGAGGGGGGTTCGGGGCGCGGGATCTGGGGGGGTCTCCTCTCCCATCCCATCTCATCAATTCAAGGTGTTCTGGGCCCGACGCATGCGCCGGCAAGACCTCCCACCTGCCTGTGCCCGCGGGGGCTCCCGGTGACCTGAAGGCCCTGGAATGGGGGTGGGGGGGCGCCCCTCAGAACGGAGCTGAAGGGCACCGGGTAGTTTACAGATGGACTCAGAGGGGAACAGTTGAAGCAGTTTGAGTGGAGGCTGGGGGCGTGGCCAGGCGTCCGGGGCGTGGCCAGGCGTCCGGGGCGTGGCTAGGCATACCGGGTATGGCCCACTGACAAGGGGGCGTGTCCCAGCGCTAGGGGAGTGGCCGCGTTAGGGGTGTGACTCCGGCAAGGGGCGTGGCTTGCCATCAGGAGGCGTGGCTCCGTGCTGAGGGCCTGGCTAGCAAGGCAGAGTGTCTGCCTAGAAAACACCTGGACCTGAGTTCAAATCTTCGTACCCCTTCCTTCCTCCTTCCCCCCCCCCAAAAAAAGACTTGTGGTGACTTCAGAGACCCTAGGCGTAGGTCGAGGGGTGAACACCCCCCAATGGCGCCGGCGCTGGGTTGACAGGCCGGCTCTGAGGGCTGCCGGCTCCCACACAAGAGGCCCCCCCCCCCCCCCCCCGCGGACTTTTCTCAGGACACAGCTGGCAGAGGCCGCACTGTGTGGGGGCCCTGTCCCCGCCTTGTCTCCGGAACCAGGGACCCTGGGACCCTCGTCCGGGCCCAGCCTGGCCTCATGGGAAAGGAGGAAGCTGAGAAACAGAGAGGAAGGGGGGAGGAAAGGGGAGAGAGGAGGAGGAAGTAGGGAGGGGAGGGAGAGCAGAGCGGGCTGGGCGGGCCCCGCGGCTCCGCCCGAGATCAAGCCACTCCAGCTGGAGGGCTGCAAAACGCTGCCACCGTTTTGTCGTCGTTTGTTCGTTTGAGACAAAGTGTCACCATGTCACCCAGCCCCCCACGGGCTGGGAGACAGGAGTGGACTGCCATGCCTGGCCGGAAAGTTCTGTCGGCATGCTTTGCCCACGGATCTGCCGCGGTTTAGTGTTTCTTATCGGTGTGCACTGAATGTTACATTATTAAGGAAACTGCTTGTCATTCGTACACACATACAAACACATATGTATGCGTGTATGCGTGTAAGCATGTACATGTGTGGGCATGTATGTATGCGGGCATGCATGTGTGTAAGCATGTACGCATGCATGTATGTGGGCATGCATGTGCATAGGCATGCATGTGTGTGGACATGCATGTATGCATGTATGTGTGGGCATGTATGCATGCATGTATGTATGGACATGTATGCATGCATGTATGTATGTGGGCACGCACGTGTGTAGGCATGCATGTGTGTGGACATGCATGTATGCATGTGTGTGGGCATGCATGTATGCATGTATGTGTGTGGACATGCATGTATGTACGTACGTGTGTCATGACACGGCTGTGCAGTCTAGGTGGCCCAGAACACTCACAATCCCCCACTTCTACTTCCAGAACATTGGAGGTTACAGGTGAGTCGCCACCCTTGGTGACCCCCATCTGCTTTTCAGGGGCGCTCTTTCTCCTTGAATTTGCTGTGCTTTGTTTTCTTTTTCTATTTCTTTTTGTTTCATTCTGGGGCTAGAACTCAGGGCCTGGGCACTGTCTTGCAGCTTTTTATTTGTTGATATATTTTTGCTCAAGGCTGGTGCTCTACCATTTGAGCCACAGCTCTACCTCTGGTTTTTTTTGCTGGTTTATTGGAGATAAGAATCTCACAGGAGGGCTGGGAAGGTGGCTCAGTGGTAGAGCGCTTGCCTTGCATGCATGAGGCCCTGGGTTCGATTCCTCAGCACCACATAAGCAGAAAAAATAAAAAAGCCAGAAGTGGCGCTGTGGCTCAAGTGGTAGAGCGCTAGCCTTGAGCTGAAGAGCTGAGGGACAATGCCCAGGCCTAGAGTTCAGGCCCCATGACCGGATCCAAAAAAACCCAAAACATTATAATATCATGGGGCTGGGAAGGTGGCTCAGTGATAGAGCGCTTGCCTTGCATGCATGAGGCCCTGGGTTCGATTCCCCAGAACCACATAAGCAAAAAGAAAAAAAGCTGGAAGTGGTGCGGTGGCTCAAGTGGTAGAGCGCTAGCCTTGAGCTGAAGAGCTGAGCTGAGGAACAGAGCCCAGGCTCAGAGTTTAGGCCCCACGACCGGACCTCCCCCCCCAAAAAAAAAGAATCTCACAGGTTTTGTTTTTTTTCCTTGCCCAGGGCTGGCTTTGAGCTTTGGTCCTCCGATCTCAGCCTCCTGAGTAGCTGTAGCTGATTCTAGGTGTGAGCCACCGGCACCTGGCCTTGCTTAGCATTCTATTTATTGGCTACAGTGTTTCCTGATAGTGCAGCAGAACCCTGACTGTATATGCCAGTGCTTTAATAGAGGACAATGCTTGGTATGTTGGGGCCCTGAGTTCCATTTCTATTACTCCAAGGGAGGGGGAGGGTTAAGAGGGATGGGGGAGGAAGAGAAGAAAGAAAAGCAGACAAGGTGGCCACGAAGGCAGAAGAGGGGGAGAGGAGAGAGGAATGGGGGGAGGGGGAGTCAGGCGAGGGCTGAGTCCCCTCCTTGGTAGCATGGACCCTGCCCTGGGAGGCACCCAAAACCTTTGGCGACTTCCCGTTCTCTGAACACAGCTTGATGCCATGCATTGCCAGGAAGAGGAGAGCAGCAACTTCCTGTAGTCCACCCCTGGAAATGGGCCCCTGACTTGGACCCCACTGTCAGGCCCAGGTTCCTACTACATCTGGCTAGCAGGAACGGGGAGGGGAAGGCACAGGGGACCCCCAAATCTTACTATGGAGCTGTCTTTGGGGATTCCCACCCTGGGGGCACAACCAAGCCCCCCCAAATTCTCTGGGTTTGGAGCTTCTCACAAATCTCAACCTGCCTCAGTGGAGGGGTCGGCTGCCAGGGCCCGGGAGCTGAGAGGGGCTCAGACCCTGGGCCCCATCTTGGGATGCACCCCTATATCAGGCACCCCCTGGGCTGCCCAGGGTCTGGGCTTCATCTCGAAGCAGCCTGAGGGCGCCATCTTGAAATGGATACCCAGAATTTGAGCCAAGGCGCTGCTCAGTCTTTGTAAGAACATGTCTGTCCTTTGGGGTGTCAGCTGGGGGTGACTCCGCCCCGCAGCTGGAGGGGGGGGAGGGGATGCCGTCCAGAAGCTGGACGTCACATCGGGAGCGACTGTCCACCGCACGGGGCCATCTTGAAAGGGCTGCTCAGAACCAGGGTGCCGTCTAGAACGGACGCTGCCCCACAAGGTGGCACCCCTCTTGGAGAAATCGCCCCCTGCAGCGGGGTGAGCCGGCCCAGGGCGGCGTCGGAGGAGAGATGCAGCCAGAGCCAGGGCTGCACCCGCGGCCTGGAGGCCACAGGTGACGTGTGTGTGTGGTTCTCAGACACACTCATTTCCGGGTTGTCTTTTTAGGGGGACCATCCCCCAAAGAGACAGCGGCGAGCCGGGGAGGGGATGAGATGTCGGCGCTAGTCTACAGAAGCGGCGGCGGCGAGGCGGTGAGTATGGGGGGCCTCAGGTGGTGGAGTCATGCAGATGCAGCCCTCCCGGTGCATGCCCCCCCCCCCCCCGCACCCCTCGGCCACAGGGAATAAAAGAGCTCCATGGAGGCCTCGAGGGGAGACTTACGTGAAGGCAAAGGCCACCAGGGCCCCACTGACCACAATGAAGTCCAGAATGTTCCACAGATCGCGGAAGTAGGCGCCCTGATGCAGGACAAGCCCCAGGTCGATCATCTGCGGGTAGGGAGGGCGGTGAGGAAGAAGGGCGGGACAGGGGTCACAGCCACCTGTCTGCCCTGGGGGAGGGGTGCCCCACGTGGGGGAGGGGCGCAGGAGGCCTGCTCTGACTGACAGGCTCTGAAGCCCAGATCCTGGGGCAGGGGAGGGAAGTCTGGACTCCCCTTTGTCTGAACCCCAAGTCCACAACCCTATGAGCTCTGCCTCCCAAGAACCTGCCCCCCTCCTTTGTCCCCTCCCCCTCCTTTCCCGCCCATGGCTTCCAGGTCCCGCCCCTTCCCTGTCCCTGGGGTCACCCTCCTGCAACCCTAATGGATGAGCAACGGGGGTACCGGGGGGACCCCCAAGACCCTCACCTTGATGACCATCTCGAAGGTAAACACGCCCGTGAAGACGTAGTCAAAATACCGCAGCACCTGGGCGGGAGACGGAGGGGTGGACAAAAGGGGACACGGGGTCAGCGGCTTGCTCTGCTCCCCCCAGCCCCCTCCCCACCCCCTGCCTCCCCCTGCCCGGATGCTCAGCGACCTGGTACCAGGGTCTGCGGGGCTCCAGGGACAGCGGAGGGTGCTGTTACCAAGCAGGGCCACCAGAGGGCGCCGGAGACCACGCGAGCCGAAGCCGCCCCCCCCCCCGGCTCTGCAGGGGGTGCGCGGCTGCCTGGAAGGCCGGTCGGAAATCTGCCCCCCCTTCTTCCTGTGTGCCCGAGTTCAAATACCACTTCCTCAGGGAAGCCGCCCCCCGGCCACCTGCTTAAAAATGCCACTTTTGGACCTGGTTGTGTGTGTGCGCGTGCGCGTGGCTCAGCGTAGCCTAGGTAAGGCCCTGGGTTCCCCTCCCTTAGCGATACAAAAATGACAGGGATACAATCTGTGTCTCCGCTTCTGGGGCCCTTCACCCCTCGCGAATCTGCACCCCTCGGCCCCGCCCTTCTGGGTCCCGCCCATCTTCCCAGGTCACCCCTCAAGCACAAGGCCGCCACTTCCTTGGCGCCCCCAGCTTAGGATACGGTCAAGGCTCAAGGACTGTTTGCTGTGCCGGGCTCGGTGGCGGACACCTGTAATCCCAGCACTCACCCAGCACTAGACACCCGACCTGTGCCGCGCGCAACCTGCAGCCTCCGGGGGCCGCGGCCTCCTGCCGCCCCGGGGACGGGCTGCGTGGGGGCGGGGGGCGGGGGCGCGGGGGGCGGGGGAGCGGGGGGCGGGGGCGCGGGGCGGGGGGGGGCGGGGGGCGGGGCGCGGGGGAGCGGGGGTGGGGGGCGCGGGGGGCGGGGGTGGGGGGGAGGGCGGGGCGGGGGGGCGGGGCGTGGGGCGGGGGGGCGGGGCGTGGGGCGGGGCACGGGGGGCGGGGGAGCGGGGGCGGGGCGCGGGGGGCGGGGCGCGGGGGCGGGGGCGGGGGGGCGGGGTGGGGGGTGGGGGGCGGGGCGCGGGGGCGGGGGTGGGGGGAGGGCGGGGCGCGGGGCGGGGGGCGGGGGAGCGGGGGGCGGGGCGCGGGGTGGGGGGGCGCAGGCGCAGGGTGGAGTGGGGGGCGCTCACGTTGTTCCGCGGGGCGTTGGGCTGCACCGGGTCCTCGGCGGCCAGCGCGATGCTGCTCATGGCGATGACCACCAGGATGCACATCTCAAAGTAGCGCAGGTTCAAGATGTAATGGCACAGGCGGCGGAGGCTGTGTGCGGGGCAGAGGGGCGGCCAGAGGCCCTCAGACCACAGGCTCCAAACCCTTTCCTTCCCCGCTCCACCAACCCCCTATTATCTCATGACCCCCGTCCCCCCAACACCACTGCTCCGCAGCCCCCAAGACACCGGGTTTGGTACCGGGTTTGAGACTCTTTTTTTGTTTTTTTGTCGGTCGTGGGGCTTGAACTCTGGGCCTGGGCGCTGTCCCTCAGCTCTTCAGCACAAGGCAAGCGCTCTACCACTTGAGCTACAGCGCCACTTCCGGTTTTCTGGTGGTTTTATTGGAGATAGGAGTCTCACGGTCTCTCCTGCCCGGGCTGGCTTTGAACTGCGATCCTCAGATCTCAGCCTCCTAAGTAGCTAGGATTACAGGCGTGAGCCACCAGCGCCCGGCTGGTACCGGGTTTGATGTCAGGGCCTTGCCATTGCTAGGCAGAGGTTCTATCCTGGAGCCACACCCACAGCCGTGGAGCCACGCCCCACACAGAACCACGCCCACAACCCAGAATGAAACAGTCCACAAAACCAGCCTTCAGCGATCGAGCCACACCCACAGATAAGCCACACCCACAAATGTGGAAACACTCCCACAACTGTTCAAACCAGCCCCAACGCCACGCCCACTGCGACCTAGCCACGCCCCTGACAGCCACGCCCCCAACCAGAGCCCTGTCCTATGGCATTTTCTTTTCCTTCCTTCCTTCCTTCCTTCCTTCCTTCCTTCCTTCCTTCCTTCCTTCCGTTCGTCGTGGGTCTTGAACTCTGGGCCTGGGTGCTGTCCCTCAGCTCTTCAGCTCAAGGCTAGCGCTCTACCACTTGAGCCACGGTGCCACTTGTGGTTTTCTGGTCGTTTATTGGAGATAAGAGTCTCACGGGCGCGGCGCCGGTGGCTCACGCCTGTAATTCTAGCTACTCAGGAGGATGAGATCTGAGGATCGCGGTTCAAAGCCAACCCGGGCAGGAAAGTCCATGAAACTTATCTCCAATAAACCACCAGAAAACCAGAAGTGGCGCTGTGGCTCACGTGGTAGAGCTCTAGTCTTGAGCTGAAGAGCTGAGGGACAGCGCCCAGGCCTAGTTCAAGGCACACGACCGACAAAAAAAATAAAAAAAAAAGTCTCACAGACTTTCCTGCCTGGGCTGGCTTTGAACCACGATCCTCAGACCTCAGCCTCCTGAGTAGCTAGGATGACAGGCGTGAGCCACCGGTGCCTGGTTTGATAAATTAATTTTCTTGTATAGTCGGAGCTTTTCCCTGGGCCAGCCCAGAGCCACGACCCTCCTACCTCCACCGCCCAAGTAGCTGGGATTACAGGCAGGAGCCGGCATGCCTGCCTAACCATTTCTTAAATAAAAGGAAGAGGTCAACTACATAAAAAGGCGGGGGGGGGGGGGGGGGGGGGGACGGGGGCAGCCGTTCCTGTCAGCTTCTTTGGTGTCAGGAAGCATTGGGGGAAATGGAGGTTTTTAAAGAGGTTTCTCTTCTGGGACGATGTGATCGCTGTTTAGCACCTGGGAGTGGACAGGACACGCATGTGCTACCTCTCTTCCTCAAGGAGGCTCGAGAGAGAAGGCTGTTGGCCGGAGGCCATGCAGCCTGCAGTGCACCCTTGGGCAGCGGCTGCCATGGGTGGTGGTGCGGGCTGTGGCTGGGTGGATGGCCACCATGGAGGGCATGGGCAACTTGGTGACCGTGCGGTTTCGATCTGGGGGGCAGTGCAGGCTGGGGGCCGGACTCACGGGTTGGTTGTGGACAGGATGAACATGGAGCTGTACGGGGGCATGGGCTTGGGGCCATCTTCCCCGGAGTCGTCTTCCTCCTCCTTCTTCTCTTCCTCCTTCTGGGACGGGGGGTCTGGGTTGGCATTTTTGTTCACTGTGGGCAAAAACATGACACAGGTCTCCCTCCAGCACTTCCCACAAGCCTCTGGGCACCTTGTGCCCAGCAAAGCACCTGCTGTCTACCTGGCCTCCTCAGGAGAAGCGAGATGGCGGCCACAGAAGGGGAAATCCAGGCACAGGATTCTAGCCACACAGCTTGGGAGTAACAGAGCTGGGATTTGAACCCCCAGGCTGGCAGGCTTCAAAATGCCTCCTTCTAACCCCAACATGCTCTAGAATTTTGATTTTGTGGACAAGATCTTTGCCTGGGACAGACATGTGGCTGGGGCATCTTTGTTGTTTTTTTTTTTTTTTCTTCTGCTACTGGGGCTTAAACTGAGGGGTTCCACCTCTCACTTGGCTTTTTGGCTCAAGGCTGGGGGCCCTCTACCACTTGAGCCACAGCTCCACTCTGGCTTTTGTGTGGTTCACTGAAGATAAGAGTCTCGCTTTGGGGGGGTGGGGGGGGGGGGGGGGGGGGGGGGGGGGGGGGGGGGGGGGGGGGGGGGGGGGGGGGGGGGGGGGGGGGGGGGGGGGGGGGGGGGGGGGGGGGGGGGGGGGGGGGGGGGGGGGGGGGGGGGGGGGGTTTGTAGATCAAGCTGGTCTCAAACTTGTAAGCCTCCTACTTCTGTTTCTCTGCAAAGACCCCCCCCCCCCCCCACCATTCTCCTCTGGGCTGGAAGCGGTGTCTCAGTCTTTATAAGAGATAAAGTCAGATTCTTCATTCATTAAATCCAGGTGCTGGTGGCTCATGCCTGTAGTCCTAGTTACTCAGGATCTGAGGATCATAGTTCAGAGCCAGCCTGGGCAGCAAAGTCTGTGACACTCTTATCTCCAGTGAACCACCAGAAGTGGAGCTGTGGCCCAAGAGGTTAAGCATGCTAACTTTGAGTGAAAAAGCTCAAGACAGCACCTAGGCCCTGAGTTCAAGCCTCAGGATGGGCAGAGAAGAAAGACAGAAATCCTTCATTACCCATCTCACCAAACACAGCATGGGAGTATGTCTGTGCTTATTTTCCAGGGGGAGAAACTGAGACCAGAAAGGTGGATCTCCCCAGGAGAGGCCTTTACAGCTGGGGGGAGAAGGGCAGCTGGGCCTGGACCCCGCAGGGCGGAGGAAGGCCTCACCTTGGACCACGGTGTGGTTGAGGGCGGGCGGGCAGGCGGGCGGGATGTCCACCGCGGTGTGGTCGGGCTTCCTGGCAGGCTTGGCTGAGTTGTGGCCGCTGCTGGGGTTGGTGACAATAAGGCTGTTCTCGGGGGTCTTGGGAGGCCCAGGGTTGGAGGGGTTCCCGGGGTTGTTGGGCATGCGGCGGCTGGCGGTGTTCAGGGGGTTGGTGGCCGTGGTGGACGGCGTGGGTGCAGGCCCGGGCTCCATGCTGTTTCCCATCTTGGCCGGGCTGTGGGAGCCGCCGCCGGGGTGGCCCAAGCTGTCGTGGGGACTGGCCGATTCCCCCGTAGCCAGTTTGTTATTCTTTATATTGTCGATGTCCTCGGCCAGCGGTGGGTCTTGGCGGCCCAGGTCCTGCTGGATCGGCCGGGTGGTCGATAGGTTGGGGCCAGAAACCGGGACCCCTGAGCCCTGGTTGTCTCTGAGGAAGTCGGGGGGGGGGGGGGGGGGAAGAAATCAGAGAATAACACGATCCCACCAATCATTACAACTGGGCATCTGGAAGTCCAGTCCAAGGCTGAGGGGGCATGGCTTAAGGACAGAGCACTTGCTTAGCACGGGTAAAGGTCCTGAGGTCCACTCTCAGCATCTTACACACACACACACACAATGGTGCCCACTTCAGCCAATTCCCAGGCCAAGCCACAAGTCTCCATAAATGCTCATCATCGCTTTCCCGCCCAGATCTCTGCCTGCCACCCTCCCAGTGAGGCTCTGTCGCAAGACACAGCGCTAATAAAATTCAATGAAGAAAAAAAATTTCCTGTCTTGAGTCTACATGGTTCCCACCCCGAAACTTCTTGGTGATGCCCACAAACCCCCATGAGCTGCCAGGCGGGTAGAGGATACCACATCAGTCAAACGACACTACACACACACACACACACACACACACACACACACACACACGGCAGTGCTGGGGATGGAAGCTGGAGCTAACAGGTGTTAGGCAAGTGCTCTATCATAGTGCCACGCCCCCACAAAACGCCACGCCTCTGAAACCACGCCCAGACGAGCCTTGCCCCACAAGCCACACCCACTGCATAAACCACACCTCCACAAAAGCCACCCGCAGAGCCCTCATGCCAGCAAGCCCTGTCCACACAAAGCCACGCCCCAAGCCACGCCCCCACCCCGTGGAAGATACAGATGACAGGGGCAGCTGCAGCTCTGTAATCCCGGCACTCAGGAAGCTGAGGCAGGAGATGGCTAGTTCCAGGTCTGCCTGGGCTACACAGTGAGATCCTAAGTTAAAAAATAATTCAAGCCCCTCTCCTCACAGGAAAAAAGAAAGAAATATGCAAAAGAAGGCCACTCCAGTCGGGCCTGTTGATTAAGTGTTGAGGGGATCGCAGGCAATGGCAGGAGCTGCGCAGCCCCCACACAGCACAGGACCTGTTCCTCTGGCCCCGTTGGGAACCCAGGATTCTACCTATGTACCTTAACAATTAAAAAGCCAAGGCGTCTGGTGTCCCGAAGGGCTTCCTACGGGCCAACCACCAGCACCACTGTCCTCGTTCCCTCATTCTCTTTTTAGCCTCAAGTAGGAAAGTAGGATGTTGTTACGGACTCTTTCCAGAGGGGAAACAGAGTCACTTCCTCGGTTTATCTGAACTGCACAAGGAAATCTGTCAGTTCACAATGATGGGAGACTGGAAAGAAAAAAAAAGATACATTGTAACCCAAGAGATCTACTTTGGAGTTACACGGTGTCAACCCAAGAGGTCTAACATGGAGCTGTTACTTGGTCTCATCAAGGGAACAATGTTAAGACCGCCCAAGCCGAGGAAGCTCAGCGGGAGAGCTGTGTATCAGAGTGGAGGCGTGGCTCAGCGAGGGGGCGGGGCCAAGCGGCAGAGCAGCCTGTCAGCGTTAGAGGCGTGGTTCAGCGAGGGGGCGGGGGCTCAGTGGTGGAGCAGCCTGTCAGCGTTAGAGGCGTGGCTCAGCGAGGGGGCGGGGCTCAGCCGTATGGGCGTGGCCTAGTGGTAGAGCTGTTTCCTAGTATATGGGGAGCAGTTCTGCACCACCGACAATGAAAACTAAGCCACGTGACAGCGAGCCCCAGGTCGAGGGTCTCCGTGACGTCACTCACTTCCTCCGGCGGTGCCGGCGCTCCTTGTCGTCCCTCCTCGCGTCCTGGTCGTAGTTGGCCGGGGCCCCGTGCCGGTGTCGCCTCCTGCGCTCGCCGCCGTCGGGGCCCTCGCCGTCGCCCTCGCCGCCGCGGGCCGGCCTGCTGCCCTCGCGGTGCCGGGGCCGGCGCTCGGCCCTGTCCTCGGCCGCCTCGTCCCCCGGCCGGCGGCGCACGCGGTGTCTGCGCGGCTCCCCGTCGGCGCCGGCGCGCGGCGAGCCCCCGCGGCCTTCCCTGGGCGCCCCGGGCCGGTGCGCGGGCGCCCTGCGGGGCGGCTCCCCGGGCGGGGGCCGCTCGGCCTCGGCCTCCCAGAAGTCCGGCGGCTCGGACTCGCGGCCGTACGGTCCCTCGCGGCTGGGCTCGGCGTCGGGGCCGCCCGGCCAGGGCCTGCGCCCCGCCAGCCCCGCGGGGGCCGCGCGCTTGCGCAGCAGCTCCTCGGGGCCCGGCTGGCCCGGGCGCGGGCCCACGGGCTCGGCGGCGCGGCTCTTGTTGGTGTTGTTGTTGCGGTTCTCCTGCGGGTCCACCACGAGCGGCCGGTCCAGGTGCGTCTTCACGTCGGGCCGCAGGTGGCGCGCGTACGTGGCCTTCCAGCGCTCGTCGGCCGCCAGCTCGGGGTAGAGCGCCTCTCGGCTCGCCAGCAGGTTGTGCTTGCGCATCTCGCTCGTGCGCTGCTCCCACACCGACTTGGCCGCCTTCTGGTTCCGCTGCTGCTCCTTCCTGCAACAGCCCGCCGCTGCAGCCCAGCCCACCTGCGCGCCCACCTGCGCGTCCACTTGCACGCCCACACGCACCCACCTGCGCGCCCACACGCACTCACCTGCACGTCCACCTGCACGCCCACACGCACCCACCTGCGCGCCCACACGCACCCACCTGCGCGCCCACCTGCTCCCACCTGCGCATCCACCTGCACGCCCACACGCATCCACCTGCGAGCCTACCTGCTCCCACCAGCGCGCCCACACGCACCCACCTGCGCGCCCACACGCATCCACCTGCTCGCCCACCTACTCCCACCAGCGCGCCCACACACACCTACCTGCGCGCCCACCTTCGTGCCCACCCGCTCCTACCTGCGCGCCCGCCTGTATACCACCAACGCACCCATCTTACCCACATGCACGCCCACCTGCACCTACCTGTGTGCCCACCTGCACACACACCTGTGCCCACCAGTTCACCTGGCTTGGCTTGGGGCTTTCCCCCTGTCTCACCAACGCACCTGGCCACGGGCATCAGCCACTGGTGGTCTCACCTGGGTGACGTCTCAGCCTAAGTGGGCTCCCAAACCCAGCCTGGTGGACTCCTACCAACCTTATAGGTGTCTTAGCCTAGGTAGGTGACCTCAGTGCTCTCCCTTCTGGGCAGGGGCAGGGCTTAGTGGTAGAGGAGTCACAGTGTCATGGATGTGGCTCTGGGCAGGGGCATGGCTCAGTGGTTGGGGAGTGGCTCAGATGTAGAAAGCAAGCCAGGAGGTCCTGGGTTCCATCCTCAGCACCGCAGAAATATATAGAGACATATATATATATACATATATATATATAATATGTATACATTAGATATATGTATGTATAATATATACATATATTATATGAAGGTGCTCAGTGGTAGAGCGCTTGCCTTGCATGCCTGAGGCCCTGGGTTCGATTCCTCAGCACCACATAAGCAAAAAGAAAAAAGCCGGAAGTGGCGCTGTGGCTCAAGTGGTAGAGCGCTAGCCTTGAGCTGAAGAGCTGAGGGACAGCGCCCAGGCCCCGAGTTCAGGCCCACGACTGGACCCCCCCCCCAAAAATAAAATCCTTGTTAAGAATTATTTTTTAATTTTTTAATTATTTTTTAAAAGAAGCTGGCTTTGGTGGGCAGAGTCTCCCAGCCTCCAAGAGGCTGGCCCCGCCCCGCCCCGCCCCGCCCGGGCCTGTGTGACAGCTCAGGTGGGTCATCGCTTCCCCGGGATCAGTCTACTGGTCTCCCGCACAGTCTGTTCTCCCAGGATTCACTATGAGCCCCTGTGAGCATCTGAGCCAGTCTCTAACCTCAAGAACCTCTATGGTTCCCGCCTAACATAACAAAACCCCCAAATTTTCCCCTTTTGGCACCAGGACTTTGCCTAAGCTGTTTGTCACCTCCCTGCCTTCATCTCCCCTTTCTGCTTATGCTCCTGCAGCCACCCTTTCTTGGTCCCAAAACATACTTCCTACCTCAGGGCCTTTACACATGCTGGTTTTTTTGTTGTTGTTTTTTTGGGTCCGGTCGTGGGGCCTCAACTCTGGGTGCTGTCCCTCAGCTCTTCAGCTCAAGGCTAGTGCTCTACCACTTGAGCCACAGCGCCACTTCCGGCTTTTTTCTTTTTGTTTATGTGGTGCTGTGTAATCGAACCCAGGGCCTCATGCATGCAAGGCAAGCTCTCCACCACTGAGCCACCTTCCCAGCCCACATATGCTGTTTTGTCAGCTTGGGACGTTCCATGCCCCGTAATCCCCATGGTTTCTTCCTCCTCTTCTTTAAGTCTTACCTTGCTGCTGCTGTTTTGCCGGTTGTGGGGCTCGAACTCTGGGCCTGGGCTCTGTCCCTGAGCTCTACAGCTCAAAGCTAGTGCTCTACAACTTGAGCCACAGTACCACTTCCTTTAAGTCTTACCATCTTCTAAATGAGGCCTTCTCTAATGCATTTAAAACCCCAGCTCGTGGGGTTAGCTCAGAAATGGAGCATTTCCCTAGGCTAGGGTGCATGAGACCCTGGGTTCCATCACCAGCTCCTCTCCAGACCCTCAAAAATCACAGCTCTCTCCACTCCCAGCATCCCCTGCTCTCCTTCTCAGTTTTATTTTTCTCTGCGGTTCAATTCCTTTCTGACAGAAAGATAGTATGTATGATACTTTCTTTTCTTTTTGGTCGGTGGTGGGGCTTGAACTCTGGACCTGGGCGCTGTCCCTCAGCTCTTCAGCTCAAGGAGAGCACTCTACCACTTGAGCCACAGCACCACTTCTGGTTTTCTGGTGGTTCATTGGAGATAAGAGTCTCATGGACTTTCCTGCTGGGGCTGGCTTTGAACCGTGATCTTCAGATCCCACCCTCCTTGGAAGCTAGGATGACAGGCGTGAGCCGCCGGCGTCTGGCACATTTTCTTATCTCATTTATCATTTTCCTCTCCCTGACTCAAATAGCTACACAATGGTGAGACTTCTTGTTTTTCTTTTGCTGGTATTGGGGTTTGAACTCAGGGCCTCATGTTTGCTAGGCAGGTACACTACCAAGTGAGCCTTTGCTTCTTGACGCTGAGCCACGCCCCTAAGATTAGCCACACCCACATCACTGAGCCCACCTCCGACATCTAGGCCACACCCAGATGCCGAGCCACGCCCCTAAGATTAGCCACACCCACACAACGAGCAACCTTCCACAGCTATGCCACGCCCAATGGGGAGCCACGCCCTCACAGACAAGCCACGCCCCCACTACTGAGCCACGCCCCAAGCCCTATCTACCACTTTTTTCTATTTTTTCCTTTGGACTCGAACTCCGTACCTGCTGTTTTCCAGCTCATTAGCTAGTGCTCTACCAACTGCGTCCCGGCCTCTAACCCCGGCCACTGTTTCTAATGGCGCAGACAAGCCCCAGTGGTTGGAACAAAAATGGGTGGTGAGAGGAGGGGGGGTCTCTTGCCAGGGCTGCGAGGTTGGGCGGCCCCCCTGCCCCGTCCCCCCACTTACACAGCTATGGACATGTTGGCTGCAGACAGGGGACTCACTTCCGCCACCTCCTTGGCTTTCTGCAGGGCGAGCTTCTGGTTGGCTGCCTCCTCCTCCTCTTGCTCGTCCTAGAAGGACAGGGACCCCAGTTCACACCGCCCTGGGGGGGTCCCGGCTCCCACACTGCTGCTGGCCTTGGGGGGGGGGACATCTGGTGCTGGCAGCGGCCGGGGATGGGGTGTATGATGACCCTTGCTGTCCAGGCCTGCGCTCTAGCCCAGGACAAACCCTCTTCTTGTGGTTTTGGGCAGTCCTGAGACTCGAACTCAGGGCTTCTCTCTTGCTGAGCAGGTGTGAGGCCGTTGGAGCCACACCCCATCCCACTGTTGCACTGCTTATTTTGCATATAGGATCTTATTATCCCTCCCCTTCCTTACCCCTCACTGCGATCCGCCTATTTTACACTGCCCACTCTAGCTGGGATGTGTGGCGCCACACCCAGATTTTTCTATTAAGATGAAGCCTCGAGGAAGTTGCGCTCAAGAGGTAGAGCGCTTGCCTTGAGCTGAAGAGCTGAGGGACAGCACCCAGGCCCAGAGTTCAGGCCCCACGACCAATAATAATAAATTAGCATTTTCCCCCCGATGCCAGGGCCTCACGCCTGTCATCCTAGCTACTCAGGAGGCTGAGACCTGAGGATCACGGTTCAAAGCCAGCTCTGGCAGGAAGCTCCATGAGACATCTCCAATGAACCACCAGAAAACCAGATATCATGCTGTGGCTCAAGTGGTAGAGCACTTGCCTTGAGCTGAAATGCTGAGGGACAGCGCCCAGGCCCAGAGGTGTGAGCCACTGTCCCAGGGTGTTTTTAATTTTTAGATACAGGGTCTCAGTTCCAGTGCAAGCTGGCCAAGAACTTCTGGTCTTCTTGCCTCAGCCTCTCAAGTGCTGGGATTTGTCACCACACCTGGCTTATTGACCTTACTTTAATGCACAGCCAGAAATAAGTCAGAGGGCAAAGATTAATTCATTTTTTTTTCAATGCTGGGGATAAGCCCAGGCCTTTTGAACAAATGCTAAGCAAGTGTTCTTCCGTGGAGCACATTCCCAGATGTCCTTCTTCCTTTCTGTGTGCTGACCTAGGACTCGCACCCAGTGCTCTTGCTTAGATTTTTTTTTTTTTGCTCAAGGTGCTCTACCACTTGGGCCACAGCTCCACTTTCTGTTTTTTTTTGGTGGTTCACTGAAGATAAAGAGTCTCACAGGCGCTGGGAAGGTGGCTCAGTGGTACAGCGCTTGCCTTGCATGCATGAGGCCCTGGGTTTGATTCCTCAGCACCACATAAGCAAAAAGAAAAAAGCCGGAAGTGGCACTGTGGCTCAAGTGGTAGAGCGCTAGCCTTGAGCTGAAGAGCTGAGGGGACAGCGCCCAGGCCCAGAGTTCAGACCCCAAGACCAGACCCCAAAAAACAAAACAAAAAGAGAGTCTCACAAAATTTCCTGCTTAGGCTGGCTTCCAAACATGATCCTCAGATCTCGGCCTCCTGTGTGACTAGGATTACAGGTGTGAGCCACCAGATTATCAACAACAACTTCTTCCTCTCCTCCTCCTCCTTCTTGTCAGTTGTGGGACTTGAACTCAGGGCCTGGGTGCTGTCCCTGAGCTCTTTTGCTCAACGCTAGTGCTCTATCACTTGAGCCACAGCACCAGTTTTCTGGTGGTTCACTGGAGATAAGTCTCACAGACTTTTGTGTCCAGGCTGGCTTTGAACCGTGATCTTCAGATGTCAGCCTCCTGCATAGCTGGGACTACAGGCGTGAGCCACCAGCGCCCAGTCACACTTTCTTCTGTACTTTCTGAGCTGTCTAAAAATCCTTAAACCAACTCCCCCAGACACGGACTCCTCCACACGCAATCTGCTGGCCCCAGCTCTTTTTTTTCCCCAATAGCTCCCAGAGGGGGAAATGAGGAGAAAAATCGATACTCTCAGTCCCCCCATGGGAAGAGGAGAAAGGGGGGGGGGGCACAGGGTGCTGTGTTTGGAGAGAAGGAAGGGAAAGGGAAGATGTTTTCCAAAAATACATACAGAAAAAGATGGCTTTGGACTTTAAATCCTGTTTCTTCGAGCCGTCTGCAGGGCCTCATGGTTAAACAGAAAAGCCAACAAAAGAAAAGCAAAGGGGGGAAAAACCGAGAAAGAAATGGCCAAAAAACCAAACCTAACCACTCAGAAAGGGCACTGCGTGGAGGGGGGGGCTGGAGGATGATTGTCCCCAAGAGGGTGGGTGAGGAATCTCTGGGGACCAGAGACCATATTTTCCTGACCGCCTGGAGGCTGCCAGCACCCCCCTCCCCCCCCCCCTTCCCCCCCCCCCCCCCCCCCCCCCCCCCCCGTGCTCCACACTCTCACCACCCTAATCCCACTTGGACAATCTGCTGCCGAGACATTTTGCAATATGGAGTCCTAGCCCTTCTTCCCTCCCCCAAACAAGACTGTACCCCCAAATCTGCTCCTCCGTGTGGCATGGCATTCATTCCACTTTCAGCTGCTCAGGACACAGTACTTGAGAGCTCTGAACTTCCCAGCCAGGACTTCTTACTGTGTTCCAACATCTGATTCACAGTCCTTATTGCCGTGTGACTTTGGCTAGAGTCTTAACTCCTCTGAGCCTCCTTTTCCTCATACTTGGAACTTTCTCTTTGGGGCTTAGGGCCCCTCTGATGAGCAGAGTATTTTTTTTACCAATAATAATAATAATAATAATCATCTGATCTCTCATGTGGCTTTCAGCTTGAACCCCCAGCTGAGTGGACGGTTGTTCTGTGGGGTGATGGCTCTCTGGCTCGGAGATCAAGGGTCTGCATACAGTAGGTGCTCAATCTACGCATATGGAAGGCACGAGGTGCCTGGCAGGGGTAGGGCTGGGGCAATGTGGGTCCTGACGGTCACTCTCTGGGCTCTGAGAAAAGGACAAGTTCCCAGGGAGAGCAGCCCCTCCTCCCTCCATGAGCACAAGGCAGCTCCATGGTGGACCGGATGAAACTTCTGCTCCCCGCGCCAGGGCGGATGTGCGGCCTGGAACTTGTCGCTCCCTCCTGCTGGGACTGGCAGATGGACGGCTGGCAGGGCCTCAGGCCTCTCAGCGCCCCAGGTACCAGAGCCGGAGGGAAACCCTGTTTTTCTGTTCTCTGAGTTCCCACAAGCCAACTGGGGCCGATTCCCAAGATGCTCCTGAAGCTGCCCGCGCGCCCCAACACCACCCTCCTTCCCCATCTCACCTGAATTCCTTTTCTCCGTGTTCCCCAAGCCTCCTCTGCTCTTTGCTGGATCCCAGGCCTGTTCTCTTACTCTCCACTCACGTGGCAAAGTCACTCAACTACCCCTGGGCCTCAGTTTCCCCAGCTGTGCAGTGGGGCTGACTGTAACTCCCTGTCTCTTATGGCTGGGGGAGTCCTGTGTACAGGAAGGACAATTACTCCCCCCCTCTGGTCATGGGGCTTGAACCTGGGCCTAGGCGCTGTCCCTGAGCTTTTTGCTCAACACTGGCGCGCTACCACTTGAAGGCACAGCACCACTTCCGGTTTCCTGATGGTTCACTGGCAATCAGAGTCTCATGGACTATTCTGCCCTGGGGCTGCTTTGAATCTCAATCCTCAGATCTCAGGCGTGAGGCACCAGTGCCTGGCTCAACAATCATATTTTTTTCCTCTGGAGTTATTATTATTATTACTAATTACTTTTCTTCCTGAGACACTGCCTTGCTATGTGGCCTCCAACTCATGATCTTCCTGCTTCAGCCTCCTGAGTGCTGGTAGTACAGGCGTGCACCACCACACCTGGCTCACAAGACAGCTTTTGGTGGCTAAGACCTTCCCGGAGGCCGCGTGCTAGGCCAGCTCCGCCCCCTCCGCCTCTTGTGCTCTTCCTGCCTGCTGCTGTCTGTGGAGGCCGCCCTCTTGTCCCCACCGCCCCCTCCTGGCCCGAGTTCTCCCGTGGCCTGCACCTTGGTGAGCTCCTGGGCGTTGGCCAGGTTGTCCACAGCGATGGCCAAGAAAACATTGAGGAGGGTGTCTGCGCGTGCCAGAGTCAGGGAAAGCAGCCACGGAGGGCGGCGGGAGAGGGGCCCCGGCTCCCCGCCCTCCCATGGCGAAGGATACAGTTTCCGAAGAGAGTGAGGACGATGAAGTAGATGGAGAAGACCATGCCCCCCCTGCACCCCGCCCTGAGACTTGATCCCATCATACATCACCTCGTTCCAGTCCTCCCCGGTCAGGATCTGAAACAGGGGCGGGGAGAGACACACAGCCGACCCCCTCTCAGCTGGCAGCCCGCCCTCCCCCCGAAGGAGGGGCAGGGGTGGGGCTCCAGGCTTCCCACGCCCATCCCCCCAAGTCTAGATGGTACCAGCCATGCCCACGCTTCCATCTTTGCCCCACCCTCCTCCCCTCAGGAGATAAGGGGGGGCTTTGCTCCCCTCAGGAGATAAGGGGGGCTTTGGTGTCTGTGGGGGGGGAGGGGTGTCCTATACTATCATCTTCTGGTGTCCCCATCGAAGTCATTGTGGAAGTGCGAACTCAGGATTAGTGCCCTAAGAAGCGAGCGCCAGGCATGGCGGCACACGCCTGTAATCCCAGCACACAGGAGGCGAAGGCAGGAGGAGTTTTGAGTTGGAGGTCAGACTGGGCTGCAATAGTGGGACCCTGTCTCAAAAAGAGAGAAAAAGAAAGGAAGGAAGAAAAGAAACCACCCCCAAACACTGAAACACAAAAGCCAGCCAGGCAGGAGCAGTGGCTCACGCCTGTAATCTCAGCTTCTCGGAATCTTGAGGATTACTGCTTGGTCAGAACTCCACACTTGACGATTCTGCCTCAAAGCTCAGGGGTCCCTTCCCGCTGGAATGTGAAGTCAGGTGACTTTCCACGTGGAGATAGGTAGGTGTATGAATCATGTCTGTCGCTTATTTTTTGTTTCCACTTGACTTTCTGGCAATGGGATTTGAACTCAGGGTCTTGTACTTGGCAGGCAGGTGCTCTCCTGCGTGGTGATGACCTCCAGCCCTCTTTGGCTTAATGGTTTCGTAGATTAGGGTCTCACGCTGTTAAGGGACCCTCCATCCTCCCCTTCCTGTGGCCACCTGCATAGCTGGCACCACGGTGCCTGGCTTGCTGGTGGAGATGGGGGTCTCACTAGCTTTGTGCTTGAGCTGGCCTCAGATGAGGATCCTCCAGCCCTGCCTCTGGAGGAGCTGGGATTACACGTGTATGCTACCACCCCTGGCATGAGCTGCTTCTTTTCACGGGCACACGTCTGTTCCACTGGCTTATCTGAGGTGACTGTAACAAATCTGCATTCTAAAATGTCAGGGGGAAAGTGGACGAGGGAGGAGGAGCTGGACTGACCCCTCAGGTGTAAGCAGGGGTGGTGGTTTCGGAGGTGGGAGGGGTGCTTGCCCACAGGACTGGGGGAAGGTCCTACCTGAAACACTGTCATGATGGCCGCCGGGAAGGTGTCAAAGTTGGTGGGGGGAGTCCCATCATCGAAGTTAAATCTGTGGAGGAAGGACGCATGTCACATGAGCCTGCCCCCAGCTGCTCCCAGGACTCGGCTCTGCATCCCGTCTCCATAGCAACGCCGCCAGCCTCTCCGCTCGCAGGAAGGCCGGGCAAGTGGTACCCAGGGCCCCATCCATCCAAACCACTGCCCCCCAGCTAGGAGGGACGCTGGCGGGGTGCTCTGGGCTAGACTCCAGGGAAAGGGACACTGGAGGTTCTGGGGCGGGACTTACTGGCCACCAAAGAGTTGCATTCCCAAGAGGGCGAAGACGACGATGAAGAGGAAGAGGAGGAACAAGAGACTGATGATAGATTTCATGGAGTTCAGAAGAGACACCACGAGGTTTCTGAGAGACGCCCAGTACCTGCCGATGGGGCAGGGAGGGGAGAGGGGTGGTCAGGCCGGGCAGGGGGAGCCGAGTCCAGCTGGCCCCCAATTCTGTCCAGGAACCCCACTTTGTGACTCACTTTGTGACTTTGAAAATGCGCAATAACCTGAGAGCTCGTAACACGCTGATCCCGAAGGACGTCCCCCGGCTTGATGACCGCCCAGATGACCTCGAAGATGCTGCCGATGATGACCTGCGGGTGCAGAGAAGGGGGAGCGTCAGGTTTGGGGGATTCGGGGGACCCCTGTACGTCACACATCCCCTGGCAGCGTCTCCGGATGTTTCTCTTACGGAAAGCCACTATGCAAAGAAATAGGATGTGGGGGGTGGGGTGGGGGTGGAGCTAAGATGCAGGGGCGGGGCTTCGTGGCAGGCTCAGTGCTAGGGGTGGAGCTAAATGGCAGGGCGTGGCTTAGCGTTGGCCCTGGCTAAACAGCAGGGGCGGGGGTAAGTGGGCAGGGGGCGCAGCTAAACGGCAGGGTTCAGTGGTAAGGCGTGGCTCAGCCACGGGGCGGAGCGAACTGGTAAGGGTGGCACTCCGCGGCAAGGGTGGGGCTGAGTGGAAGGGACGGGCTCAGCTAGAGAGCTGGGACTAAACCATAGGGGCGTGGCTAACGATGGGGCGTGGCGCAGCACCCGCCCGATCCAGCAGCGCGGGAGGCGTGTCGTTGGCAGGGCGGGGCTCAGCAGCAGGGGCGTGGCTCCGTGGTGGAGCGTTCACCTAACGTGTGAGGGGGCCCGGGGTGTTTTGCATTGCAAAGAAAGGAAAATCACAAAAGGACCCCCTCCTTCCCCCCCAAATCCCTAAACCAACCCAACCCAACCCCCAAACTCCCCTCCCCCCCAAAAAACCCAGAGAATCAGCGTTTCTGAGAGTAAAGGAACAGGATGGCTGGAGCAGCACCTCTGCTTTCAGAGAAGGCCTCCTCCCTCCCCTCGCCGTCTGTCCTATCCAGGTGACACCCCCATCCTCTTCCTCCTCCAGTTCCTTCTTTCTTTTGTGGACGCTGGATCTCCCTATGTAGCCAGTGATGGCTTGGAATTCTCCATGCCCCTACCTCCATCTTCGGAGTGCTGGGATTATAGGAATGCCTGACCACGCCCAGACTACCCCTCCCCCCCCCCCCCCCCCCCGCCCCTACGTGATGAAATCTGGAGAACAAACTCAAAAGAAATCGTGCACTTACCCCACAGTCAAAGCAGTTGAAGGACGAATGGAAATAAGGCCGCGTCCCAAGCCCGTACATTTT